ATCTTCAGGCTCTCAAGCGAGTCCTTCGATATCTTCGTGGGACTCTTGATCTTGGCTTGGTTTTTCATCCCACAGACTTTTGTACTCTTACTGCTTTCTGTGATGCCGATTGGGCTGGTTGTCCTGATGATCGTCGCTCTACTACTGGCTTTCTTGTCTACTTGGGCCCTAATTTGCTTGCCCGGAGTTCTCGGAAACAGCCTACTGTTGCTCGCTCGTCTACTAAGGCTGAGTTTCGCGCCATTGCTAATGTTTGTATTGAGCTATATTGGGTGTGTCACCTGTTGTCGGAGTTGGGAGTTTCTTTACGTTCGTCTCCATCTATTTGGTGTGATAACAGGAGTGCTGTTTTCCTTGCTGCCAATCCAGTGTTTCATGCACGTACACGACATGTTGAGGTGGATTTTCATTTTATTCGTGATCATGTTCGTCAGATGTTTGTGTCTATTCACTCCTTGTCTGCTACTGATCAGGTTGCTAAATATTCTTACGAAGCCTTTATCAAAGGATTTTTTTCTTCATTTTAGGGACAAACTTCGGCTTCTTACTCCGTCGCCATCAGTTTGAGGGGGCGTATTGGTGTAACTAATATTTACCGTAGTAAATTAGAATTAGGGTTGTCCCTTATGTGTATATATAGGTATACGGTGTATATCTCTGTTAATAAATCAATGAAGAGAGTTTTCTATATTCCTAATCAAACCCATCGAAATTGACTAATTAACCTACAAGAGAACTAATTTCTCAATCCAATTCGGAATTAAAAAAAAAAAAAAAGGAAAATAGTACCGAATCTTGAAGGAAAAAAAAACCAATAACCAACAACTTCAAAATCCTGAGTTGCGGAGACAATTATCGTTGTCAGAGGTAGAAGAATAAAATCTTTAAAATTCATTTAGCAAAACTAATCGATCAATTTAGTCAAATAAATTAATTAATAAGCATAGCTCAACTCAGTGTGGTCGAAAGTTGGACATGCGGTAGCAGCGGAGGAGGGAGGAGGGGCGGCACTGCGGCGGCCAGCGGACGGGGCCGCGGCTTGCCGAGGGGGAGTGTGTAGGTTTTTTCTGTCTGATTCGATTGTGATAGTAAACTGGTGGGCGGTGGCAGCACCTTTATTTATAGCAATAATTTCATAATTTAATTAAGATTAATTAAGGAAACCGCAAAACTTATTTGCGGACACAACAAAAATTACAAATAAAAATCCCCAGGTCTCGCAAGCTTCGCGAACTTGATTCACAATCTCATAATGATCGATGTCATTCGTCCTACCCATCATCGAATCAACTGTTGGAATACCATAGCCGTAGACTTTCTCCCCGCCATGGACTGATTTGGCCACATGCTGATTAGTATTTTTGTGATCCCGGAATCAAAAAGTCCCTGAACACCAGCTTTTGTATCGTCGAAAGCTTTAGGTTGCTTTGGCGATCGTAATTAAAGGGCGACATTTTGTCAACCATGATTTCTCCAATGCTGGCTTTGAAAGACTTAAAACAGAGTTTATTATTAGAAGGTGCGAAGTGTTTTTTTGGGTATAGCTTCATGTTGTATGGACAAATTGAAAGAATCCTTAAAGATTTTCGACATGGTCAATCAAGGACTAAGTCTTGATGATGGAAAAGGCTTTCTACTCTCGAAAAAAAATCGTGATTTTTACCAAGATTGCCTAACTTGTCTTACACAATTATAACAACAAATAACGATCTAGTGTATTATCTTATCGAATGTCCCCGAAGGGACATCTATATATATTATAGTGGGTCAAATAAGTGAAAGCAGATAAACAATACTCCCTCTGTGCCAAATTTATTATCTAGTTTGAGATTTCACTTTTAGTACAATTTGAACAAAAAATGCAAACTCAAACTGGATAATAATTACGAGACGGGGAGAATATTATATTTGTCTCAAAAAAATAGTACACAGTGCATTTTGAAATAAAGAAGATGACAACAACGGCGATGAATTATACTGATAAATTCTTTTATCCGTACTCCTCCTTTCGTCTCAAAATAAATCAAGATGACAACAACTAACAACTAGTACTATCACATGGAGAAAGAGTTATTTATTTATGGTGATGGTATATATTGATAATATTCTGTTCGCCGTAGACGGATTAGTTGCATCTTGCATGTGTTTCTTGGAATCAATTAGGTAATGTTCTCTTTTTAAACTTAATGTTTCAACTAATCAATTATGTGCAGTTCCTCATTTAAAAACAAATTCAAGCAATCATTAAACTTAATTTATCTTTACACTCAAAAAGCAATTCGGTCAGTCATTAACAGTCCGATTTGATGACATGATCATTTGTTGTTGACTGAAATTATAGCCGAAATTACATTTTATCCTTTTTTAAAAAAAAAAAATTGATTGCAAAGAGATTAAAGAAAAAGTAACACTAAGTTATGCCATAATTGTACATACATAGCACTTTTGTAATTGCAAAAGTTAACACAAAAAAGGGAAAATCTAATCTTATTCAGTCAAATTTTATATGAACACAAGTACAACTGTACAAGAATAAAAAGCGTTATATTGTGAATATATTCGAACTTTGAAGCATTTTCTTCTTTTCATCGTCTAATTAAATTTTAATAAATCAACGAAAACATCCTCGTCACTTTTTCTTTTTTTTTAGAGGAATAAGGAGGGAGGGAGAGATTAAAAAAATAAATCGCTTATCAAAATGGCAAGTTGTAGAATCCAGTTAGAATAGGGGGGCAAATAATATTAAGATCCTAGGTACACCTTGCAAGGTGTACCTAGACAGTGCGTGAACCACACATGGGGGAAGAGAAATTGAAATAATTGAGTCTAAAAAAAAGGAGTCCACACACGTATTTATTATGCAAATCATCAGTTTAATTACGTGATCAAATGTTATCCCTTTTTTTCCTCCAAATTTTAATTACGTGAATTAATTCCTCCAAATTTTATCTTTTTTTTAGCACATGTTTAATTTCAAATGTTATCTTTTTTAATGCTTATCATGTTAGCTTTTATATTATTTTATTTTATAAGATTATTTTTTAAAAACTAGGTTTCTTCTTGTCGCTTGTTGCGTAAGGTAATGCGTAATGTATGGTTACTGATGAACAGAGTGTTCATTGTTTTTTTAACCGATGGTGTATTATATTATTACAATTTTACGATGAATATCTTATGTTAACTAATGAATAACGAGTTGTTATTGATGAATAACAGAAGTTTTGCTAATTGGACGATGTTTCAACTATGAGGAAGAGACTTTTGTTGCTTATAATTCTTACACAAAGTGCATTGGTTTTTTCAATAAACAAGTTCAAAGATTGGAAAATGTCCAAATCTGGTGTTGTATATTAGAAACAATTTGCATGTAGCAAGCAAGGAGTAAAAAATTCAAGAGGTAGGTGCGATACAACTATGAATAATTATACCAAACTGATGAATATGACAATTTCAACAATAAATAATTATACCAAACTGATGAATAACCCTCTATATCAATATCTACACTTATTGTGGTCTGATTTTTTGCAGATTCAGATATCCTGCTTCTTTTGGCTTCTGAATGTTGTTCTTCGCTCATGCTTCTTTCAAATTGTATCTGATATTCATCGCTCATGCTACAATATATTTACAAATTCCATGAATAATTTGTCAGATGTGATGAATCCAGTAATTTCAACAATGAATAATTATACCAAACTGATGAATAATACAAATATCTAGTAATTTACTAAAAAAAAAAAACAATACTACATAGTGATGGTAAACGACGAATCTTGCAATTTCAACAATGAATAATTATACCAAACTAATGAATAATGCAAAGATCTAATAATTTACCAAAAAATAATACTACATAATTATGGTAAACGATAAATCTGATAATTTCAACTACGAATAATTATACCAAAACTGATGAATAATACACAAATCTACCAATTTGCCAGAAAAATAACATCCAATAGAAGAACAAAACTCTAAAATTGATGAATCTGATAATTTCAATAGTTATGAAAACGATGAATCTGATAATTTCAACAATGACTAATTATACCAAACTGATGAATAATTCTCATATCTTCTAATTTACCCAAAAAAAAAAAAAGCAAATCGAAGAACATATCTCTAAAATTGATGAACAAACATCGTTAATTGAGTGAACATACCTTAGATCTACATAACCCAAACAAAAAACTCACACCAATGATTGAATAGAGTAGTTGTATCACCTCGCTTCCCCTTCATCCTCCGATTTACTCATACTCGGTTCGAAATCCTCAGCCATAGGCATCTACATGAATATTTTAAGGAAAAACAACATTCACCAAACCAGAATCAAACAACAATGGATAAACACAGAAATATCGATGAATTTAACCAGAATACACCTTAATCCTCATCTTCAGTATTGTAACTTGTAATCAGAATTACCGTTTTTTATGAACGATTCGATTCAGACTTCGGAAGTCCCGCCGACGGTAGCTTCTCTGAATGTATCGCCGCAGGATTGATTTTTTGGGGTTTCGGTTTTTTTTTTTTTTTTTGATTTGGGAATTAATGGAATAGATCGAATGGAATATTGGATCATCAATAATGGCTGAAAATTAGGAGATAATGGTGGTTATCAAGATTTGAAAATCAAAAAATCGCACATAATGGGGGTATTAATGGGCGCGTGTGTAAACACTCGGATGGCATTGTTGTAAATATTGGGAGTTCCCCTTTTTTTGGTCGCGTGAGTTTCACCCTAGGTACACCTTGTAACTAGGATCCCTATATTATAATTGGGGGGGAGGGGAGATTAAAAAAATAAATCTCTTATCAAAAAGGCAAGTTGTAGAATCCAATTAGGGTACAGAAACAGTGGTCTATCTATCTATATATATACATACGTAACCTGTCTGTTGCCGTCTTATAATTGTTAGAAGCTACCCCTAAAAAAATCTTCGACCGCAAGAAAAGAAGAGCAGGTTAATTAGCGCCAAGGAAAAAAAAAATCAATGATGAGGGTTGAGCCGCCGGCAACAGAGCACTCAGTGATGGCCGTAATGGGGGCAGCCAGGCCTTCCTCCCGGAGCGCCTACGACAAGCTCGCTTTCGCCGTTCACGCGACCCATTTCACCTCCGGTTTTGTCCTTTACATCACCGGCCCGGCCGCCTTCCCTGACACCAATCCGGCCAAATTCTCCGACAACGACAAGGTTTTGTTTTCCCTCGATTACGACGAGATTGACATTCAACACTGGAATCAAGGCGACGACCGTTACGCCTTCGTGTACTCCAAACTACTGTTGTCAGACTCGGCTCGGATACGGACTCGGTGAGGGTAGGGGTCAGGGGTTTTAGGGGTCTATTCAGGTCGACTCGGATGATGTCAGTACGACGTAATAAATAATATATTAAAAAATATATTAACAATTAGAAAGACTTTTTTATGGATCTTTTTTATGATATTAGTCAATAATAGTATTTTATTGTATTTAATTATAGTTTAAGATAAGTATATTAATTTAAGAATTAACATAAATTAATTATTTATAATTAAAACATATAAATTTACAAGATAATCACTTTTATTATTAATAAAATGTATAATAAAAAATAAATTTCAACATATTTGAGGTATAGTTTAAATTTTGTATAAAATAATGGAGGTTTATATATGAGGAAAATCAAAAAAAGATTTAAAGATGGTCCTTTAATAATTTGTAGTAAAAAAAATGGGACTAAAATGACAAATTAATTCATGAATGAAATCTGTTGGGTCATTTAAGAATAAAAAACAAACATTTGGACCAGGGAAGAGAAACAATGACTCTGAAAATGATACAAAAAAGTTTAAAAAAAAAAAAAAAAAATAGGTCAAATAGTGCAAAAACCTAAAACCCCGAGTCGACCTGGGTTCGGCCGGTTCCCGATTCACTCAGAGTTCTGACCGAGTTTAACTGAGTCACAAAGTAACGGTTTTTTCAAGTCACTCGGTTCGGCATGTGGTCCGGCCAGTTGAACCGGCCAGTCCGAGCCGAGTTTAATAACACGATGACTGAGAGATTGACACACATGGCTAAAAAGAAACAAATTTTGTCGTTTAGAAGTTACTACTCATGAACTCCCATAAAGAATTATGAATTAAAGGGCCAAACGCTATAACATGTATGCCATCACGCAAATGAAAAGAAAAAGATGATAGAAAAAAGGATTACACTTTTCAGTCAAAAACAACATAAGCGGATGCTTAATTCAACTCTTTAGTAAAATAGTCTTAGTTCAACCCCAAACAACCTATTTTGAGTTTTTTTTTTTCTTTGGATGCTTAATTCGACCTCTTTAATAAAAATTTTTTTAAAAAAAATGATAATGCCCTTTCAAAAAAATAAGTTTTTAGTCAATAAATTTGGAAAAGAAAATGTACTTCCCACAATCAAAATTCAATAACAAGAACAAAAAAAAAAATTCTTATTGAGTTTATTAATGTATAAGGATTCTCTATCCGGTTGATATCTCTTATGCAATAAGAAAGGAATGGTGTGAAAAAAATAATGTGATGTAGCAGGTAACTTATTTGCCAAGAGTTATAACACTATAAATTAAGTAAAATATTTTAATATAAGGTTAATTAAACAAAATTTAGTTCTAAATATTGTCTTTCTTTAACATTAAGGGCTCCTCTTTTTCAAAACATTAAATTAGGGCCCGAAAGAGATATATAACATCATTGCCATAGTTTGTATCTAAAAATAAGTTTGACAAAAAAACTTATGGAAAGGCTATCAATAATCCAGAGAGCTTGAGCGTCCTACAATTATAGATTGAGCATATATTGATCCACAGTCATTAGGTAAATCCGATGTAGCATACCAAGATAAGCAACAAGAAAGTCAAGCATGCAATTTTGATGTACGTATAGAAAGCTTGATTTAGAATTGACAACTGTTATCTCTCTTGTGGCCCGATAAAATGCTTCATCTTGTAGTATTGTGTATCCTCCAATTCACTAATATAATATACTTTAAGTGACAAGCCTACGGAGTACGGGGATATCACGAAGACAAATATGGTGAAACTTACCAAGATAAATGTATTTTTCTCCTTCTTGTTTTGACTAACAATGGGCTAATGGTGGTATTCTCTGCCCTGCTTAGTCTTGTTTTTGCCTTCTCCTGTCGTTCATTATTATGTTTTCATTTCTTCTTATGCCTTTCCCTATCCTATTTTCACGTTCTCCTTCCCTGTTTTGTTGTGCGTTTGACATTGGTCCATCGAATGAAACTTATCGATTGTTATAAATTAAAGAACCTCTTTCTTATGGAGGAAATAAAGAATTGTTGGAAGTCATAATTTCTCAAAGAAAAAAAAATTATCTCACAGATATGATTGCCGGCAAGGCAGAGTGGATGAATACTGGCCAAAATAGTGATCGAGTATAGCAACCACAAGAACTTGAAAATGACAAATAAATTATTAAAAAATGAATTAACGGTAAAATGTTTAGATTACAAAGAAAGGGAATGAAAGTTATTTACAACATAACAGATGCACTAGTGTCATTGTCATCTTCTTCATCAGAGGACTCACCCAACGTGATGTATTTGTCAGCACTACCAGCATTGTTCCCTGCCTTCGTCTTCACCCTCTTCTTCGTCACCACCTTCATTCTGACCACCACCACTTGTACCCACACCACTTGTACCTGCACCACTTTTACTGCACTAGTACCTTGTCCATATGAACTTGCATGATTAACCCCAGCAGTCGGCGCAACATAAATATACAATTCAGGCAAATTCTGTGAGACTAAGTATATCAACGGTACTATCTGCGTACACCCCCTTCTACCGGAACTAACTGCCCATACTAAAACAAAACTGACTGTCACTCTTTCCTTATCAAAACCAGTAGCTCTACAGACCTTGTCCACAAGTTCTGAGTAATTCAACTCGCGGTGAATAAATAATGTTATATGTGTCATTCTGTTGTTCACAGCTACAACTCCATTCACAATATTAATACCACTAGTCCCGTACACATTCAGACTAAAAGGACCGCTGAAAAACATTTTTAATACATGTGCAGATAGTTTAAACCCCAACATTAAACTGTATCCGACATGTAATTACAGATAATTTACATCAATGTTTTACGTTTTAAAGCACAAAATGTTGTTCATATCCACCAATTTAATTGCTAATCCTGTTTCTACATGACATACATGAAAGTAAAAATATAATTTCATTTCAATGTACCAAAAATAATAACAAAATTCTCTAATTTTAATGCTCTATTCAACTGTTTAATTTAATTAAATTACTTACCTCATATACAAATCTACGAAACAAAAATAGTTCACAAAAATGAAATAAATTATCTAACTAATAATTGTTTCGTCGATCAAAATTCGTTGTAAAAATACCGAGATACTCTTATATAAATCTTCTATTCAATTGTCTAATTTACTTTTATCATCTACACATCTATAAAATAAAAATAATTTACAAAAAAACTAAATTATCTACCTAATAATTATTTCGACAATCCAATTTCGTCGTTTTTACAATTAAACAAATGATTATCAAAATTCAACTATTTTAACGATCAAATCTACATTCTAATCTCGTTTCTATACCCAACATAAAGTCTAGACATAATTCTACTACACCTTCAACTCTAAACTACATACATTTAGTCAATTTACCCATTTCATACATGAAAACTACTCCCTCCATTCCAAAATAAGTGTCATTCTAGAGTTTGCACACAGTTTAAGAAACACTTCAATAGGGTAGCTAAATTACTAGAATATCCTCGTACGCGGTCTCTTTTAAAAGGAACCGGGACTAAGGCGGGGCAAAAAGACCAACAATTTCGACGCCTGTAGGGATATGATGAGTGGGCGGAGGATAAGGCAGGTGAATGCGAAGAAGAAAATCGAGGAGTGGAAGGCCGAGGAGGAGGAGAGGAAGCTGGAGAAAGTAGCGGAGGAGTACACCAAAAAGATGAATAGTAAGAAGATGATGGTTAACAAGGGAAAAGGAAATTCCTACGCCGTGGACGAGTATGTTAGGAAGTATATGGAGGATTCTGAAAGAAACTGAAGCATCCAATTCCAAGGGATCCATTTCTCGCCGTACCAAGCTAGTATGGGGAGAATAGTTTTCTGGGTCGTGCATAGAATCTTCGAATAAAGAGAAACCCCTAATGAATTTCGATGATGGAATCAATTCAGCTGCTGAATTAGAGGTTCTTCTTGGGATGGATGGGTTGAAATCAGAGCTTCAGGCAAGAGAGTTGAAATGTGGAGGGAATTTGCAACAACGTGCGACCCGCCTTTTCCTTCTCAAAACAAAGTTATTCGCCAAGAAGTGAATTTTTTTTTTTTTGGTTGTACATTTACATCAATGTGAAACGGTGTTTTTCTTTCATGTTTTAATCATTCAGAGTGCTAATTGGTAACTCAAGTAGCTTTCACTGCGTGTAATGAACATGCAAAATCTTTGACGAATTTATCAATGTTTCGAGGTCTACTTTTGGAAGGGGAAGCATTGGCGGTTGCCAGAGGCACTTTGTTTGGAGTTCTTAAAAGTTAAAGCTCCATGTTAAATAAAGAAATTATAGTTTATAGATATTTTTCTATCTTTTTTTTTTTCTTTTTTGCTTCTTTTTATAATCTTTATTATTACTAGTGATGTCTGGTCGCGCAATGCGCGATCCTGGCCCAATATATTTATAGATCTTAGAAATGTTTGTATCTGAAAAAAAAATATTTTGTATTTGGCCCGATATATTTTAGAAATATTTGAAGAATTTTAGAAATGTTTTATAAGTGTGATGTTTGTATCTGGCAAAAAAAATAAATTATATTTGGTCCGGTACGTTTTAGAAATGTTTGAAGATTTTAGAAATATTTTATAAGTATTACTTCTTAAATATAAATAAACTTGATCAAATAAATGTCTTGAAGTAAATGCTCGACACAATATAAAAGCATCCTCATAAGTTTAAATATTAGTAAGATAATTTATTGATTTTCTCCATTGGTTGTGCCAAATAAATACTTAATTTCGGAGATTTATAATAGTTTTGTAGTTAGCTTTTTCCAAAGAGTATACGCTTAATTGTTGGAACTATTTCTTCCAAAAGTTTATAGGTAGTAAAATATCAAAAATATGATTTTGAAACTGGTTAATTGTTGAAACTGGTTGATCACAAATATGAGAATGAAAATAATATAAATTTGCATAGGTTTCAAGATATAGTAAAAAAGAACTCACCTCACGATGGCAAATAAAAAAAAAAAGTAAAAGATAGCCCATTAAAATTTGAGAATTTTTATTTTTTTCTGTAGGTAAAAAAGATGTACAAAAACACAAATAAACGTAGAAACATCATTCCTTCCCTCTCTACCTTAAATTCATAAAAGGATTCCCCATAATTTAGTTAAAAGAAGCGACATGAACTATTTATATGATGAGGAACTAAAAAAAGTCTAAAAACCAAATCCAAAAAAGTATATTCTTGAAACCTCGAACACAAAAAAAGAAACGTGCTTCATTTGCAAATAAAATAATAATAATAATAATAATAATTGGTCAATTGGGAGTATGAAACAAAATCAAAAGCAATTAAACAAAGAAAAAACACACTTCATAATTGGCCATATACGAAAAAAAAACTTTAGACTCCATAATTAAAAAAAAAAAAATCACCCAAATTGAATGAAACATAAAAAAATAAAATTAAAAAAACCACACTTTGTAACAAAAACCCAATCAATCAATTCAATCCAAACATAACTAAAATCATACAAAAATTCTATACTAACTAACCAAATAAGAAATCACATCATACTATCTGACAACGGCTACGGTAGCTGTAGCGGATGGACGCATAAAAATAATAGTAATAACACTATTCTTGAACGGGAAAAACAAAAAATAATAAAAGCCAAACCAATGATCTGTGGAAATAAAATCATTTAAATTTTAATACCTGCAATGGCACCACCACAACGGCCGAAGCAAGATCAATGAGATTTTTTTTTTCCTTTGTGTTTAAATAGAGAGGTAAAGAGAATATTTTTTGAAGTTGAAATTTTATCCGATTAAGATGTAGTTGATCATCACTAATGAAAAGATTGAATATGCTAATAGGAAAGGAGTATATTTCACCACATATTCTCAATTGATGATTGATGAGGAATTTTTTTTTTTTTAATTGTGGAGAAGGGATTGATTAAAGAGTTGATTGTCGTGGAGATGGGGATGAGGATTTGAGTTTTTTATGAACCCGTGGTTTTTTTTTTTTTTTGTCGAAAATAGGAGGTAAAAGTGAATTTAGACTGCATTTGCTTTTTAAATTTAGGAGATGTGGTAATAAAAATTTATTTTAAAAATATGATGTGAAAATGCCACATGACAAATGATGGTGCTTTCTCTTAATTGTGGTTTTTGTTTCTAATATAGTAAGATATATTTGTGCGAAGTACGCCCCTTGTAAAACTGTACATAGCCGAGGTGTGAATGGTTGAAAGTTTCGACGGTGATTGTTATTACCTGATGATTGGGTTCGAGTTTCACCAAGATTATCTAATTAGTTCCATTTTCACCAAGGTAGGCCAATTTTCTTATTAAAAAAATGTACAATTAACGAGTTTTATTATTCTATATATCAAATATTCATTTAAATACTTACTTGGAGAATTTTGTTCAGTCTGACTGTTTTGTGTTTAATAACAGGTTAAGTTTAACTTCATGTTTCAGATGTAGCAAAAGTGAAAATTAGAGAAGCTTAAATATCAAACTTTGGTAGTTCGCATGATTGAGAACGCTATAATTTCAGTTTGACGAACAACAAATAAGGTAGTCACTGTCAATTAACTAGATTCAATTGATTGTTGAATGAATCAAATTTACAATAATTAAAATATATACTAAAGATTGTCAAAGACTTGAACTCTCATCTTAAAACTAATTGACACAATAAATGGGATGGCTTAAGAAACTTATATATGTACCAATCTTACATTCATACTACATCTAAAAAGAATTAAGACAACTATAATACCATTTCCTCCAATCTCAAAACTTGACTAAGCTTGAAGACAGTTTTTTCCAACTTCTTCCATTCAAATCTTCCTACATACGAAACCCGCAAATAACATGACGCGTATATGATTAATGTTAGAGAATCTATCCCATATATAACATCACAAAGAATATATAATCAATACAAATTTACGACATGAGAACCCCAACACCCCTTCATAAAATGCAACTCACAATCCCCATCATCAATGATATATAGTGAAGGAAGCAGCAAAATTAACTAACGATATCTGCGAAATTACAGAAAGTCATTATATTTGCAAAAATGAACCCAAAGAAAAAAAAAAAAAAAAAAGAAGAAGAAAATCTAAATAATTTCAGTCAAATTTCATATGAAAAAATACAAGTTTTCCTCGTCACTGCACTTTTTCACAAGAACAATTGTTGATGATTACAGGTATGATGCCAGTTTCTTTGGAATTCGCTAGCATGGTAGAAAAAGAAATGTTTCTACATGTTTAGTATGGTATCAGATTGAAGTCTAGCATGTGTTACAATCATTGTTTGAAAGGATAGATTTTTGTAGGTTTATCTACATAAAATTCAACAATGACATTCTGAGAAATTATAAGTGGTGTTTTTCATGTTGTATCTTTTCTTGTCAAACGATTTCAAGTTAATTAATAAATTGTTATTTTTTTAAAAAAAAAGTATTAGTCTTCCAGCGAAACCGTGGGATAAATTCTTTCGTATTATCAATTAATTTTGATATGAAAACCAATCTGTTTTGACAAAAAGTCAACGCTAGTAGATCTTCATTATCACAAGATCTTCTAAATCTTACAAATAATTAGGATCCAGTCTAAAAGCTTGATTCTGAGATCACTACATTGCAAGTGATTTTTGTCATGGTGTTTTTTTTTTTTTTGTGGATTCTAATAAATATCCGGTTCCTAAAATAATTGGTTGTGACTCATCCGAATTCGACACATATGTTTCTTTCAAGAATTTAGTTAAAAAATATTAATTAGAAAAAGGGACATTAACGATGATTAACTTTTAATAACTTCCCTTTTCGCGAAAAAAAAAAAAAAACCTTTTACAAATTTAAGTTAAGAAAGGAAAACGTCTATATGTCTTCCCAATTCATGGCTCTGTTTCCTTTTTTTTTTTTTCTCCTTTTTTGGAAGATCATAAACCATTAACGCAAGGGTTTCAGAATCCTGTTAGGATTAGAGACAGCATATCTTCTTTTCTATATATATATATATATATATATATATATATATATATATATATATATATATACATACCTGTGTGATTACTTTTCTTCATCGCATAGCTATTAGAAGCCCTAACACACGGCCAAGCAAACACAGAGCAGAGCAGCACCATGCAGAACACCATGACGACGATGAGGGCAGAGCCACCAACATGGCAGTCAGTCATGGCAGTAATTCGGGCAGCCAGGCCTAGCTTCCGTAACGTCTACGACAAGCTCGCCTTCACCGTTCACTCTACTTTTTTCGCCTCCGGTTTTGTCCTCCGCGCCACCGGTCCGGATGCTGTTTCCATGTACCACATCCATGCTATCCATCCCGCCAATGGCCACTTCGAAGCTGGAATTGACAAGTGGAACCAACTCGATGCTAATTACGCTTTCGTTTATGCAACTAAATCCGATGTGTCGGAAATCGTAGTAAAGTGTTTTGCATTGGATGGTAAATTGCATATTGATGCCCTAAGGGAAGGATTCCATCTAAACCCTGATGCCATTGCCCGGATGGAGATCAACGTGGCGGATTATTTTCCGGATGAGATTAATGGAGGAAAATATGCTGCCAACAATAGTAATAATAAATATAATTACGGTTCAATGATCTCGGAGGAGGATTTCGGGGATTTGGTGTTTGATATTTATTATGAAGTTGTGGCGAAGTTCAATAGTCCTCCTCCTCCAACACCTAATAATCTACGTATGCCTCCTCCTCCTTCTCCTCGTACACTGTGGAATCCACCTAGTATTATTAATTCAGCTATGCCGCCTCCTCATCATCATCGGCGTTTACGGAGTCATTCTCATTCAGCTACTCCTCCTCATCCAAGTCCTCGGCGTTTTCCTCCTCACGATCACCTCCGGGGGTGAGAATGTCGTGATGCCGGTAAGACGGCAAGTTCGGTCCAGCCTCACAACAGGGCAATGAAGTCAAGAAGACACCTATGTTTTGTTTTTCTTTGAGGAACCAAGGAAAACTACTTTGCTTTTTTTTTTCTCCTAAATAAAGATTATTAATAGTTGTTATCTTCAGATTTTATTTTTTCTTATTATTTCGCTTTATGCGCACTTAGCTTTTTGAGCTATTTGTATGGTTTCTTTGAGAAGAAACCGAGGAAAACTATTTCTTTTTTTCCCCTAAAATAAAGATTATTAATAGCTAGTTGTTATCCTTATGCGCACTTAGCCTTTTGAGCTATTAGTGTGGTTTCTTAAGAACAATAGAAGGAAATTAACTTACACCAAAAAAAAAAGAAAAAAGAAAATTGACAAAACCTAAATTTTTGGAAATTGACAAAACCTAAATTTAATAATAAAAAAAATGTGGCTTTTACGGTTCACGCAACTCTCTCTTCGCCTCCGGCTTTGTCCTCCGTGCAGCCAGTTGGTGGGTGTCAAACCAACAAAAATAAAAGATTCTACTCCTAACAAATTTAGTAGTATAGCAATGAGTAGAATCGTCTCCTCAGGGAGCAAGGAAGTGAAAATATTTCTAATCAAAAGCAAAGTAACTAAATGGGAGAGATTTTGGATTTGTAACTAATGAATAACAAAAATAATTTGCAAGCAATAAAAGATACTTTTGGAAAATCAATAATAAGAGCAACTCTAGTCAAAGGAATAATTTCCACCTTGATGTATCCAACTGATCATTGATGCAAAGATTAACTCAACAATTGATGAATATATTAGTTTAAGTTGTTGGAACCTCCTAACAACTCAGTCTTTTTATTTAACTACCAGTGACTAAGAAACCTTCATTAATCACTCTATAGCCAAAAAAAACACTACCTGCAACCTCCTAGGATTCAGTTATTGACAAGCAAAGACTCAATTCAATTTCTAACAAACAAACCTTGTTTCATTAAAAATTGATTATTTATTCTCACAACACAAGTAAACTACTTACCAAGTAATTATTTGCATTGTCTCTTCTAAGGAACAAACAAACCTTGCTGTTCAATAAATTAGATTATCTAGGAGAATTGAATGCTACCATCTATTCAAATAATGCCAAATAATCATCAATACACATCAAAGAGAATAAATAAATACTCAAAATTCGTTGGTGAAAAGGAAACAGTTAGATCTCACAATTGATAACATCAAGGCTTCAATAAAATCCTTTAACTAGAAAAAAAAAAAAAGTTTAGTTGCTAATCATGGTGAAATCAAAAACACAAGAATTGATGTTTGACATTACAGAGCTAAAACTGACGAAGACGGAGAGAAATCCTTGTCCCGAGTTCCAGCTGTTGTTCCCTGTGTTGTGCCTCTTCTCCTCTCTCAAAATAATAAGAAAAAGACTATTTATATGCAAATTTAGGGCATCCCCACGTTCAGCCCGTTCAAAAATCGCAGCAACCAATTACAATTTTCAGAATTTGCAAATTGGTCCCTAAAGTTTGCCAAAATTACAAATTGACCCTAAAACTTTGGAAATTTTGTACTTTAGTCCCTGTTTCAGCGTACCCACGCGGGAATACAACATTGTTTCTGGAATTTCCTGCTTCCTCATTGATTTTGGCATGGATTTTGTGTGCCCACGCGGGAATCAACCACTTCTTCTCCAACTTGAAACTTGATTCAATAAAACTTCAAAATCTCTTCAAAATCAACACTTTTCTTCTTTTTGTTCCGAATCTTTTCTAAGATCAAATTAAGAACCAAAGCACTAATATTAGCATAGATAATATTCAAAACAACACATAAACCACCACAAATATCATGCTAATATTAACATTATCACCGGCCCGGCCACCTTTCCCTGGATTATGTATTCCGGCACCATCTCGTCGAGGTTGGTATCGACAATTAGAATCAACTCGTCGCGGATTATGCCTTCGTGTACTTCAACCCTAATGATCACTTGGCATTTTTCAGCAAAATTGTTGCAAAATACGTAGCATCGACCGGTACGTTACACGTTGATGCCCTAAGGGGAGGTTGCGGTCGTCTTGATGTTATTTCTCAGATGAAAATTAACGTCGAGGATTATGTTTTGCGGGAGCCAATTCACGCATGAAATTACAATAAGTATAATTACGGTTCAATGTTTAAGGATTTCGGGAAACTGGTGAGACATATTAATAGTGAAATTGTGACAAAGATAAGTACTCCTCCTCCTCTACTTCCTCCTCCTGATGGTTGGTGGTATCCACCATACGCCCCACCTATAATGATATAAAAAGAAAAGATACATTGATATGTTCTAACCGCCTTTTCGCGCCGACTACCTCAATCACCGCCGGTGGAACTACAGGAGTTTGCGAGCTCATTTTTAATATTCTTATCGTACAGATAGGTTTTAAGTCTAGACTCCCTAAAAGGTTTCTCTTCTTTGCTTAATATGTAGTTTATACTTTTTCGATGTTACTCGTCCACTATATATCATATTATATAGTTAATATTTCTTTTTAGTCACAAATTTCACCTATAGGAAATATATCTTGATTGGTGTGAGTTATTTTGATCGAATTGTACCTCAATAGTTTATCGGTTTAGACCTGCGTTTTTAGCTAAATATTTTTCGAGGCTGAAGCTCAATGAAGAGTGTCCTAAACAAGCAAGCTAAATTGAAACATAGCAACATAAACATTACTGATTTCGATCAACCCTTGAAAGTTTCTAAACAACTTTATCTGAAAGAAGTCAGCATCCTTAATTCATCGGTCCAAAATTATTGTCTTAATAGATTTTTACTTTTAGTACAATCTGAATTAAAAATGAAAATCTAAACTAATACATAATAATTTAGAGACGAAAAAAGTAATAGAGAAAAATACAAAAGGAAATTCAATCAAAAAAGCATAGCTCTTTTGTCTGATTAGAATCATTAAGGATCTTTTGTCTAGGGATTGGATAGTAGAATTAAGCCATGTCCATAAAAAATGTAATGGTGCCGCTGATTTTTTGGCGTCACTAGCGGAAGAGAATTTAGGAGGACTAGTGTTACAAGGTAATATATTTTCTATGACTTTCCTTTGAGTTGAAAATCATGAAGTGTTGTTGGGTGGCTAAGATGGATTGTTAGCAAATGTTGATGGTTCGAACCATGGTTGGACGTGGCCTAGACGTGTGAAAGAAAGTAAAGTGAGGCTGAATGCAAGGCCGGGTGGTTACAAATTGGTTACAAGTTTCTTAGTAGGCAGTTATTTTAGAACTTAAAAACAGAAGTTGAATCCCCCTTCTCTCTCTCTACTGAAACTCTCTCCCTTCTCTCTAAGTTTCAAAAAAAATTTCTTCTCCCTTCTCCCCCATCCATCATTAATGGGGATGGAAGAGGTCAAATTTACTTTTCTTCTTCTTTGTTTTATATTTTTGCTCTCTCTTCGGGGAGTTTCTCTCACCCTTTAATGGGTGTTTTGTTCATCCTTTGATGGGTGTTTTGCTCCTCCTTCTTAGTAGGTTTTATTTATTTATTTTGTTGTTTTTAGATAGTTTCCCAACAAATCTGATGGAAGAAGTATGGATCCAAGTGATACCGAAGAAGTGGCGGGTTTGTCGAAACTCGCAAAAATTAATCTGAATTTCAACAGACCAAAAAAATTAATTTGTAGAAATAGTGGAATCAGGTCGAATCTCAAGAGAGCCGACTTTTAACACTTGGCTTTATAAAAATACAAACTGGAGAGATTTTTCTTTCTTCAAAATAAAATGACAAATTAAACTAAATAGAATTGCAGAGAAAAATAATAATAGAAAAGTTTGGTTCAAGGAATGAATTCAATTATATTATAGATCATTGACTAAAAAGATTATTTTTCTACCATTCAAGCATTCAACCGTAGGCTTAATAGGATAGCCGTAAAAAAACCTTACATTTTCCAAAAATATTTGACCAACACCTAATCAAAACTTCGTATAATTTAACTGGGTACGATAGCGTTCCATGTCAAACTATACTAGCAATAAAAACTTTGAAAAATTTAGTTGAACCAAAAACTAAAATAATTGAGATAGCTGCAATTAGAATGTTTTTGTCCTATCGATCCCCTAGTTAGACTAATTATGCACGTTCAACGTGTCACTACCAACATGCATAATCTGCTAATGTGCTACTTAGTGCCAAATGTTTAAGACGATAGCGCAGCATAAACAATTTGGTAGCAGTAGGAAGAAAATACTTGATTAAATTGTCAGATTAATCAAGTATTTACTCTCATAAAAAGAAATCAAAATCAATAGATACTTGAATTAAAGTAAAAAAGAAATAAAGTGAAACTTGTAGTCTCACATATAATATAAATGAATAAAATTCCTTCAACCAAATGAAGAAAACTAGCCACTCATGGTGACTAGAAACATCTTAAAATGTTCGAAGAAAATTAAAAAAAATAAAACTAAAAAGAGAATGGTGGCCAAAATGGGGGAAAGGAAATAGCAGCTTAATGCTTGCTACGGGAGGGGTTGTTTTTATCAATTGAGGAGACCACTATTTATAGTTCATAATCGCTGAACAAAAATCCCAAAGAAATGGGAGTAAAATCCAAATTAAATCTCATCCTAGTTTTCCACTAAATCAGTATTTTTTTTGCATGATTCTCTATAACCGAATATGAGATCAAGATTTGGATGGTTGACTTGGTAAAAAGAATCTTCTAGAAACCCATTTATGTGTATTCTTTGCAGCTGAAATTTTCTTCATCTTTTAACTCCGTAAAACTTTATAAAAGGGCCGTAAAAATCTAAAATGGTCCATCTTTTCACTTTTTGGTACCTAACAACAGAGTCATAGCAAAATCACTTAATAATCACTAAAATATAACCAATTTAGGACTAGAAGATTATAATAAAATGAATTTTATTATAATTATCAAGAAGAAATCATGGTATAGGGAGAATCATGGAGTCCAAGGTACAAGGATGAAGGAAAATATCCAGATCTATAACTTCTAGGTTTGTTTGGTAGATTTACCATTACATCCAGTTTTAGTTCGAAGTAGATTGGTGTTGGAACTTTATCTTCCAGATTAGTTCTCTTTGTATTATTTTCTTTGATAGATCTGTTTGGAAATTCCATACTTTAATTATCAGAGAAGTTACTTCAATCTGTCCAATTTAGCCTTCTTAATACTTGTACACAGATAGTGGCACGTCTGATACTCTGTGGGTTGAGAAGTCGTGTATGACAGATTGTGTTAGCTCAATCATCGGATTGTGTAGCTCAATCCTTGTATTGTACTGCTCAACCATATGGTTGATTTACATTTCCTTTTAATATTAAATATTATTATCGCTTTCTACCCCAAAAAAAAAAAGTAATTATTTTAGAGATTTGAATTTTTAAACCTATTAACTTGTATTTTCTACTTTATCCTAGGTAGTTGAGGATGTGAACTAAATCATCTCTATTTATAGAGATGTAGAGGGGCTGAAAACCGAAGTGGGAGAAGGACATAAGACAAAATGTAAGAATGCCTTGAGTTCTGAGAGTTTGGGAAGAAGTCTAACCCGAAAGTAGACTTGTGCGGGGAAATAGCCAAACTCAGAAAATTGTTGGCTGGGAATGAGAATTGAGAGTTAGATTCCGGTCTCATTTGAGACGTGAATCTCTTGTAAGTTTTGTGTTGAATAATAAAACTACAAGAGATTGGGACTTCGGTCCAAGATATAAATGTTTGTGTGCCTTAAAATGATTTCTTGGTATTGCTTAGCGAATTTCTTCCGTTGTGAGATTGTTTAGCGGGCCGATGGGTTTTGGTTGGACAAAATCCATGCCGATAGATTGTCGAATTCATAGAAAAAATTTTGGGGTCTAACAACTAGTACGATTGGATTCGCCTCCTCCAAGACTTGTAAATTAGTTACATCACGATGCAACCGGGGTTAGCCACCCTTGTCATGTTTTTATATGAACCAGTTGTATCTGAAATCCCCTTATGATTAAAAAAAATAAAAATAAAAATAAAATTAAAAAAAAAATAAGCATAGCTCTTCGTTTTTTGATTTTTTGCCTTCAAGATCATGACGGTGGGCTTCTTTGAAGATCCAGTTTCAAACCCCAGGCTGAAGCCCAATGGGGGGAGTGTACAAAAAAAAGCCCATCATCATTATTCCACCTGTTTGCTAATGTAGTATTCCCTCCGTTCCAAATTAAGCGTCAGTTCTAGAATTTGCACATAGTTTAAGAAATACTTAAATAGGGTAACTAAATTACTAGAATATCCTCAACCAACTCCATTAAAATAATGTTCGTCGGTAATATTATTTCTTTTGAGGGTATGTTTAGAAAATTCTGATAAAAATTACATTGGAATCCAAAAACGACACTTATTTTGGAATTTTTCTATTTTGCTAAAACGACACTTATTTTAAAATAAAAGGAGTATCAAATTGCTAGTTTTGAATGATTAGCAACACTAAATTTGAGGGTAAAAAAACACTTTTATTAAAATCACAAGCTATTGTCCAGCGTCAAATGAAAAACAAAGTAAAGAAGATAACCCCATAAAAGTTTTCAATTATATCAGAATTCTTAACAATCTTAACAAATGCATTATGAAGATTTGAAAGGAACATACTTCGAAAATCCGAATCAACAGCTTCTTCCATCTTGTAGAGTGTAGACACGTAGCAATAAAAACTCTACTATTGTTGTCAGACTAAAAAACTTAAAATCCGAATCAACACTTACTTCGAAACATACATGCATCATCCCTTCAAAACCCGAAAATTGTTGTCCGATTTATATTTTTATTTTTAATATAAATTGAACTGAAAGTGAAAATTCAAAGTGTAACAATTAATTTTGAATTAGAAAGACTTACCATTTTACATCTTTCAATTTCAAAACTCTACTATTTCAAAAGGGGGATTTTCCCAGCTTCTTCCATCTTGTAGAGTGTAGACACGTAGCAATAAAACAATGAACAATCATCATCATTGCTAAAGTGAAAAATCCCCTGTTATATGTTATACCAAAACTGTACATACATGATATTATTATTAACCCAAAAATCATCCAGAATAAAAGAAGCTAAAACTCTATTCTAATTCAGTCACATTTCACATGAACACATTCATCAAAACGGGGAAAAAAAAAAGTCAAAAATCAATCTAAAATAGCAGTATTTTTCCTAAACAATCATACTAAATCATTCTCCTAGCGTCTATCGACCCCGAACCGAGCCGGAGCCGTGGAAACAAAAGGCACCAACGGAGCCGGCTCGTAATAAAAAGGAGCCGCCGGATGCTGCCATTTCTTAAACGACGTCGTCGCCGTTGAACCACTTGTACCGGACTGCAGCTTCTCCTTCTTCTCCGACGAAGAAGTCTCAGCGCCGGTCAGGATATGAGACCGGGGCGAAGTCGGAGACTGTACCAACGGCGACAGCAGAGGGATGGCGACGTTCCAATCGGTGACTCTGTTGACTTGAATTGACGCCGGAGCTCGGCCTTGTAACCGGCTCGATTGTCTCCGGTTTCCGGAAGATCTTCTATCAGCCATGAATTGTTGGAGATTTGAAAATGACAACGGTCGGAGTGCGGCGGCGATTTTTGGAGATATAGGTGGCGCCGATAATGATTGGGTGGGGGAGGCGGAAGAGGTAAGATGTGTGTGAACTGAATGGGATTTGGGAGATATTGGGGGAAGACTGGAAGAGGATTATATAGGAGAGGCGTGTGGTCTACACGCGGGGGTTAGGGGTTTTTTTGGCGTTTAATTTAAGATATGAGATTCTCAGTCAAAGGGAGAACCGAAAAAGGGGTTGAAAAACTTTCGGCTTTTTTGTTTGAGCTGATAATTGCTATTTTGAGCTTTGAGCTCCTTTTTTTCTTATAAGGTTCTTTCAAATAATGAAAGAGAGAAAAAAATTTAGAAAGGCTACCTCCCCTAGTTTTATTTGTTTCTTTAATCAACTAAGAATTTTAAAGTTTGATTATTGGATTCCGTAAAAAATATATATATATACAACGCCGCACATATTCAACTTGTGAAAATATTTAAACTAAATATCAATTTATCATAATTATTATATTATATATCAGTATATGACACATCAACGGCAAAAATAAGTGTAAGAAATAAGGATGGTTTTTTAAATAATGATGAATATAGAAAGATAAAAAAAACATGCAATATTGTAGACATTGGGTGTATTAATTAGATGAGGAAAGAATAAAAATTGATTAAACATGTAATTAGATTATTTTCGACAAATATTGAGATTGTTAATGAAATATGATTGTATTAAAAAAATGATATTTTGAGTCTGAAATGTTAAATTTAACGTAACGTATTTTTTTTTTTTTTCGAATATCGAAGATATCATATGTAACATTTCACTAGTATATATAACATTGTCAAGCCAAGTAAAGCGAAGCCAAACCAAAAAGCTACGAGGCTTACGAATTAGCTAAGGGGGCAAGCCAACGAACGCAACCGAAAGGCCAACAACGTTGCGTCAAATACCAAACTTGACAAAATCACAAATCATAATCCCTTTCTTTATTTATTTACTATTATTATACTAACTGCTGTTTGACTGACTGTCTCGTACTAACTCCACCCTCTCTCCGCCGTCACTTTCACCGGACCACCGCCAAGGATTTCTTCACAGACGCACCGTAAAACTACCAGTTCCAAACCACTGGATTGACAACACGTGTCACCGGCGTGATGTCATTTCACTTTCCCTTTATGGTAAGAAACATCATCATCAAATCGGACGGTCGGGATGAGAGATACGTGGTACTTTATTCTCCTTGAAGCTAAGCAACGCAAAGCAAAAAGAAAAGAAACCTTAAAAAAGCTGGTCAGAGAGAAGCGCACGTTGGATTTGTTAGGACATAGTATTGTCCTTTTTTTGGCTTTGTGTCGATTGTCTTGTTCGCTTTCATTTCATCTATTTCAATGGCTGTCTTGTTTTCCATTATCTTTTTGTCCTCCTTAATATCTCCTTTTTCAATATTTTTGGTGAAAAATACAAGAAATTAATCTTTAACATAGAGTATATATGAAAACTTAAGACTACATGATTTCTTATTGTGTAAATCATAACTGCTTATTAATGTAAGATGTTGATACCTCAAATAGACTCATTTCTTGAAACATGTTAAAAAGCACTGTAAAAAAGAATTTAAACATTGTTATTCTCTCTGTTTCAAAAGTAAGTCCACATTAAGATCTGAATTGAATAACTTTCAGTATAAATTTAAAAATTTAATGTTGGTTTTTATTTTTTTGGATAGAAGTACTCCTTCCGTCCCATAATTATTATCCAGTTTGAGTTTTTATTTTTAGTTCAAATTATACTATAAGTAAAATCTTAAACTGGACAATAATTTTGGGACGGGGGGAGTAATATTTTTTTATGTATTATGTAGTTAAGTGCTCTAAACTTAATCTTATCATCTCCATAATTCTTATTGTCATTGCTCAAATTTTCATCACATTCACGCGTATCATTTTGAATTTAGAAAAATTATTTAAAAAAAAAAGATTTATTTATCAGTCGTACTAGTATGAGGAAAATCATGTTTTCAAATTAATTAAGAAAAAGAAGAAAGTTTATTTTCAACTCTGAGGAATAAATTTTTTGGACTAATCATAATAGTCTTACTAATGTTCAACACCTATTATTTCTCGTACTTGTACATCCAAATGATTGTAACACAAATTCGACTGATAGGTTTGAAAATTCCTATTTGATTTAATATTTCTTTAAAGACTTTAGAATTTCTTATTCACTTATCAACAATAAAAAATATATATATATGTATATTTGATAAATTCTCCATGCCGGAAAAACTTATTTTTGTTGCACATATTTAATTTAGTGTAGACTTTTTTTTAAAAGAAAAGTGGTACTTCTTTTAAAATAATGGACAAAATATTTTGTCAAATTTGGTTACCCAAATGAGCTGGTGAGAGGTCAGAGTAGTCATTAAGCACTAGAATATTCGGAGATTGAGTTTCTAGGGACAGTCAAAAATGTAAACAGTTGAACAAACTTTGACAAGGAATATTATTAGCTGCACTGAACAAGAAAAAATTGGATGGACCAAACTTCACCTAAGAATGGCATAAAAACAAAAGAAGGAATCAAATCAAAATAAAACCCTTTTGCCAATCTTGGACTTTACAAAAAAATGGAGGAGGAACTGATCTGATCTTCCCATGGCCAACTCCTGGTTTTTTTACCACTAAATATTATAACAAACAAAATATTTCAACCCTTCTTTTCCTCCATGGCCAAAAAAAAAAAAAACTGATTCCTTCCTAATCTAGGATGATGATAAGAATAATAATACTAGCGACGTATATACAATAAAATGTTACATATTTCGATCGTCCCAAAATAAGAGTTCTGAATATGAACCGATGTTAGGTTTAGCGGAAAAGCATCTTGAGCTCCTCAAGCCTAGCTGATCTAACCTCTTCATCAGTAAGTGCACCAGCAATCATCCTTTGTTTCCTAGCTTGGACTTGTTGCAACCTTTCTTCCACAGTATCCTAAACCCAACAAAAAACACACGTGACAAAACATGGTCAATTGATTGTCAAAAAAACTGCAAAGAATACAGTACTTTTGACTTTAATTCAGGTAGTATCAAAGTTGATTTTGGTATTTGGCTTTTCCGCCCAAAAAAAAAAAAAAATGGAGGAAAAAAAAGAAACCAAATTGGAGATTTAAAGCATCTAGTTTTTGACCATTTCTGTTGAAAGAAAAGATAAATTCAACAATGTTGATCATCATGGATGATGAAAGCTAAGGAATATATGAAGTGATGTGACGGGATATGTTAATAATGTGAATTAATTAGCATCAAGCTGTCCAGAAATTGTCAAAAACGCTAGTAGGGTCAATGTTTGAAAATTTCCAGAAATTTCCAGATCATGATTGAGAGGAACTTGTTAACAAAACTTGAAAAATATAAGGCCAATGATTTAGAGGCAATTTACCCTGACAATGAATCTTCTAACCCGAACAGTTCTCTTCTGACCGATGCGGTGAATTCGCATGATTGCTTGTTCTTCCACTGCTGGATTCCACCATGGATCCTACATTGAGTTTGAAAAGTTTTCAGACACTTTTTACTCGGGAGTTCTGTAACAAAAATGGTAAAATGAATGTGAAAACATGATGAATGAATGTACCATTAGGAAGACATTAGAAGCTGCTGTTAGATTCAGGCCTACACCACCTGCTTTCAGTGACATTAGCATCACCTGAAGGATGACATTTCAACAACATTTGATCAGGGTTGGCAGCTTTATAATCAATATTCAAGGGATTTAAAAGAAACAATAATAAAAAAAAAAAAAACAACTAACCATTTTTTCACTAGACTCGCTGAACTCTTTCAAAACAACTTCTCTTTGTTTCTGAGACAACTTCCCATCGAATCTCAAGAAACTAATCTTTCTCTTTTTCAGCGGGATCTCCAGTAAATCAAGAAAGGACGTCCATTGGCTAAAGACAATGCTCTTCTCGCCAGAGCCCGACTTCCTAAGGTGTTCCAGGCAATCCAAGAGTTTTGAGACCTTTGATGACTCTTTCCAGTTTCTCTCAACATCGATTCTGAACCGATTCTCAGATGGACATGTGATCAGCTCAGTTTTCTTAACCAGTTGCCTACAAATGGGGCATAGCCCGTACGCTGGAGTTCGCCAGCTTGACAGAAGACACTCCCTACACATTCTATGTGCACATGGTGTGAGCACAGGGTCATCTGCTGACTCTAGGCATATGGGGCACTCACTATTTTCGCCTTTACGAATTCCCTCCACAACCTCTTCAACATATGCTTTTGAGGGAACTTTCTGAGAGGTAGAATCAGGATTCATTTCAAGGAACTTCCTAGCAAGTTTGTTCAGGTCTGCAAAGTCTTGAGTATCACCCCGGCTGGAATGTTGGAAATTTCAAAATGTTACCAGACAATAACGGCAGAGTTGTTTTATTATAAACAAAGCCTAGAAGCTGAGAACCTGTTCTCACCTCATCACTAGAAAAGGGTGGTTGCAACACTGCCTTAGTCGAAGAAGCAACTCAAGAATATTTGCATAATTGTGAAGAACCTTGCCTTGTGCTACAAATTGGTCAAATTGAACCTGTTCATAATTAACAAGTTAATAAAGTTTTCGCTATCCACATCTGAACAACTGTTTTAAGCAATGTGAAAAGAGTATCGTGTTGCAGCAAGATCACATGAAATTTACCTTGGATCTCTTGAACAGGGCATCATAGAAATCGCGCTCTTCTTCAGATTGTTCACACTCAATGATTTTAATATCAGTTGGTGGTAGTACCAATATTGGCCTGAGTTAAAAAAATGTTAAAAGATATCATTAGGATTACTTTTTGATTTCCCCAAGACAAACAAAGAGTGTGAATTCAAGTACTAAGACTCACCTTCCTTCCTTGTCTTTTGTTTCCTTTGTTCTTCGCAGCATAAGTGGTCTCAGGATAGCCTTGATTAGTTTCATCCCTCTTGGATCATTATTTTCATAAGGCCTCTGGATTAGCTTCTGCCACCTGCGAGAGGCAGAAACAACATTGATAATTAGAGCAAAGAGGACAGGCTCATTGACCTTTGAAGTTTTGATCAATAACTATGATTCACACAAATCACTATATATCGTGAAACACACTGCAACAAAGCTGAATAAAGCTTTAAAAAAAGTGTATTTAAGCATACCAGGCCCAATTGCACCATGGTTCTACATGCAAGAAGCAAAGAAGGCTATAAAGGTCTTCCAATTTATTCTGCAAAAGATTACCATGAAGTTTGTCAGTATAATGCCACAAATTCTAATGCGTAAGAATTTCATCAAAAAGGAAGTACTGAAGGGACTATCATACATCCCTTTACCAGTTTTATCAGACTGTCATACCTGAAGAGGGGTACCAGTGAGACACCATCTGCAGTATGATGACAATCTGAATGCTGCTTGAGCAGCTACAGTCTTCGGGGACTTAATGGTATGAGCTTCATCCAAAACCACCCTGTACCAGTCAACTCTGTGAAAAATGCTATCCTCCCCGTCCTGCAATGCGTTGCAAAAATGCTACTTATCACTACAACTATCTATTCAGCAGAAAATGACAAGTAGCTTTGAAGAACCAATAATGAAAGTAGTTTTCATTTTGCAGCAGAAATAAAACAGATAGCTTACACTCTTGTAAGCCGACGTAAGGACACCATATGTAGTCAAGATCACATCCGGCAATGCTATCACTCGAGGGTCAGCAGTCCTATCTCCGCCATAGAAAACACCAACGGAAAGGCTATCTGGCTTTGAGTGTGTTTCGAGTTCATCCTGTTTATTTAATGACATAAATAACCTGGTAAGCACACAGTTTTCACCAAATATTTGCAAGATATTTAGTAAGATGAGCAAGTAAACTTTTGTTTCGCCGTAAACTCACTTAAAAGGTCGTATATAAATGGAAGCTCACCTTCCACTGACCAAGTAACGCCATGGGACAAACAATAAGGGTGCCTCCTTTCACTCTCCTCCCAGACTTTCTATCAGATTCACTTCTCTTCTTTTTAATGTATTCTGTATCCTCCTTGCTGTCGGTAATAAGTTCTTTGTCCTCTGGAGTACCTCTGCCATGTTGTGCAAGGATTAAAGCAATTGTCATCACAGTTTTTCCAAGCCCCATTGCATCTGCCAAAATCTGCACAGCATAATCCACAACTTTAGATGATAAAGTTACATCAGATAGTAAAGACAGATTCTTCAGTGACTATGGTAACTACCCCTCCTCTTGCAGCCTGTGTTGCGGTTGGCAGTTTTGTTGTTGCTTCACCAGAAAAAGTGTTCACATAAATTGCAGAAGCCCTCCTATTAAAGAGTTAAAAAAAGATCAAACATATTAACACTAATTAACTTCAAAAAATAATTGACTAGTTTCTTGATCTTGGCGTCCCAGACAGAAAACATACTCATCACATATGCGATAAGCCCGCCAGCAAGGATGAAGAGTTTTTTCTGCCTCTTCGGCATCTAGTCCCTTTTCTGATTCTATCATCCAGAAGAGGGCCTGCTTTTGGTATGGCCTAAGATCACACATAAGGGTCCTTGGTGGCTCCATCTCCTACAAGTGTAGCAAATTAGGATGGCAATTGGCAACTATAACTAACTGCAAAAGTACCTGGCAAACTATATAAGTTTTGAAGAATAAAAGTGATCCATTCATTTATACCTTCAAATCGTACATATCTGCGGCGCCAACAAGCTTGTTTAAAGATGATTCTGAAATTGTTTGCTCGTCTCCGTTCTGGTTCTGAAGTGGCTGACAACCCTTTCTTCTCTTCAAAGAAGGCAACATTGATACAGTTTCTTCCAAATCATCCTACGAATCAGAATGAACTCATTTATGAACTAATCTGAACTTTAGCTACTATAGATCACAGAAAGCACCACTTGCACAAAACGGTAGAGCAGTTGTATTGTTCCTGAAAGAATAACACTAAAGCATGTAAAATTCTGAATGCGAATGTAACATTTGCCAGTTCCCCAGGAAGGTACCTATTTTTAGATTTAACTTCAAGAGATTGAACAAAAGTCCTTCCATTATAAACATTAGTAAAGAAAGAGATGAATAAACATATACTTACTGCTAACTTCAGTGAGCGTTTCCGTGAATCAAGTTCTTCAGGTGTAAAGTCAGCCTGTCGTGGATACATAAAAAAGTTGAATTCAGAGAAAGAAAGGGAAAAAAAAAGATAATATGACATTCGTAAATGCATTCTCCAACACAACCTATCATACCTCCTGAGATGGCTTTAGTTTTAGCAACTTAAACAAAGTCAAAAGCGGATATACGGTGCTATTTATATCTGATGGTTCAAGCTTCCAAGAAGAGTTATCAACCTCCGTGAAGACTGAATGATGAATGTAGAAACTGCAAACAAAAAAGGTTTCAAGCCGGGAAGGCAGGGATACAAAACTGCATTTAGTAATCCAAAATTTCATGCTCTAAAACTTCAGTGAAAAAATGAAGGCAGAATGAATTAAATACAAACAGAAAAAGAAAATTCGGGCTTTACCTAATGTACAACATAATTTCCTGCATCAAATGAAGACTTGCAGGTGCAGATATGCATCTTCCAAGAACCTTGACTTTGTTAGAATTTACAAGTGGAGTAAGGCATTTTGACCACTCCATTGGAAGACGGCCAATCTGACAAATTTTCCAACAAAAAGAGAAACAGTTAGTCTCACTTCCAATCTAACAAAGCAGATATAAAAACTAAGGAGTTGCTAGTATAGAAAGCTCTCAAATATGAACTTAATGCTTTAATATATTACAAAAAATGAAATTGTAAGTAAATTGAATTGCAGAAACAGAACTTCATTACCTCTCCATTTCTTTTGGTTGAGAACCGAGCAATCCCTGACTTATTCAGCATCTTTACCGAAGGAAAAGTGATATTCACAATCTCATTGGTCTCAATTTTTCTCCCCTTAGTAGTGGAAAGTCCCATGATTACATCCCTCCCAACCAACAACCAGTCTGGCTCTTCAGGGAAATCTCCATCCTCAATGACAACAGTACTAAGCGTGTTATTTGCACTATTGGCTGGCTTCTGAACTCCCAAAGACTGCTTCTTTGCACTACCCATCTGCATTTTCTTATACTCATCTTCTGTAATGGATCGAGCGGACAAAGGCTGAACACATATTATTTCTTCCGCCTCCTTTTTAACAATTGTTTGGGAGCTTACTGGTTCTGGTAAGCCTTGTTCTTTACACCATTCTTCAAACTCCAAATCCAATTTAGTACAAAGATTGTGGTTCAAGTCCTGGGAACACTGTTTCTCTTCCAGAACCATACCAGAATCCGTGATGTCCTGTTTAACTATGGACTGAGTGCCATTATTACTATCAACATTCACAATAGGCTCCTCTTTTACTAAAACAATAACGTGGGATTTTTCCACTTCTTGTGAACTTTTTCCTTTAACCTGAGGAGGGTTATTTTCAGGCAATTTAAGCCATTCGTTAACGCTCAAACTTGATTTACCTACCGACCCACTAGGAATTACATCACCAAGACTGAACCTTTTGTCCTGGATAGGCTGTTTCTCATCCAAAACCATATCAGACTCTCCACAATCCTCCTTTTTCACAATGATTTCATCCCCATTTTCGATCTTAACCTTAACATTCATTTCTAAACCAGCTTCTTCCAAAATGGCCTTATTTTCAATCTCTACATTCTTAGTGTTATCTTTATCTATAATCGTTCCAAAGCTACCCCCTTTCTCAATTTCTATCGACCCTTTTGAGAATTCAGTATCAAACACAATACCATTAGTTTCAGACTCAAAATCCAGCTCTTTTATGTGCCCCTCAACATTTGCTTCAATGATTTGGGCAGAAATCCTCGCCCCTGTGCTGGTAACAGTCCTTTTCACAGTTTCCGGTGGTAATGAGCAATCCAACGGCGCTTTATCAGATTCCGGCATATCGGGGCCGTCGAACGGCTTGATCATCTCTGCTTTCATCCCTTCTATCTCCATTTTTTTGTTTTGGATTAATTCAAAAGGTAAAAAGGGTTAACTCTAAAACATTCAAGAGCAGAGGATAAACATAAAGGAGAAGAGCTTTTCGATTGAAGTAAAAAAGAAAAGGGAAAAAAAAGCGTGGTGGGAAAATGGATTTTTACAGAGGTGGATGAAATTCGAGGAGGTTTATAAGGGATGATGATGAGAACGAGGAGATATCTTTGGCGCGAATGGGTTACTCAGCCGCGAAAGTGGCATTGGCGGTTCTTTTTCAGTTTTTGAGTTCCACTTCTTAATATTTTATTGGCGCCAAATGACGAAGTAAAACAAATTTAGGCGGGTAAATCGATTTTTTTTTTCTTTTACTGTCAGACTCCATTCAGATTTCAGAAGCCCCCCATTGATGGAATAGTAAAATGGTAATAAAATTTCCAAATTTGTAAAAAAAAAAAAAATTGAATAGTAAGTCATTTAAGAAATCATTAAGGACATAATTAATCGGAATAGATATCTACTCATATTTTCTTCTCCAGCTCCAATAAAAATCATCATGTAAATGGTATTGTTTCGTCTCGATAAAGAGAGTAATAGGATTTCAACTTAGGCATAGCCGGTGAAATGTGTTTTATTCTATAGAAACATTATCTCACACTGTTCAAAAGAAGAAAAAAAAATTATTATAAAGAAACAAGGAAAAAGTTACCTTTAACGCCGAGAAATATTATTTCACTCTACAAATCAACTCTGGTAATTTGTCTATTTGGTTAGCAATGCCACAAACGAAAAGCAAAGTTATTTCATTTTTCTTTCTTTTAAGTTTTAACCAGTCATATTCTCTCACTAATTATATCGATCAAATTCAAAACCTTAACTGCAGCAAGTTAAAGTCGCAGGTGGAAATATCATTTCAGTTGAGAATATCCTTTCTGTAATGCCATTGATGGGATTTTGGGCCCTCCAGAAAATGAGCGAAAATGAAGTAGGATAACATCGTAATGTGCTATGGGCCGGAGCTCGTCTAAGTACTACACCAGGTCCACCTACCTAACAAAATCCATTTGACTTTGGAATTAACTTTCCAACAACTTTAATAAATTAGTTTTACCACAATAAATACTACTAGTAGTTCTTTTTGTCACCAAAAAAAAAATACTATTCAATTAAACTAAAATAATTATCACAACGAGCCTGATTATTTTTCTTCTTTTTTTGACAAAGAGCGTGATTAAAATTTGACAAATCGAGTAAACTAATAGGTTGACAATTCTAGATATCATTTTGAGGATTCAACTGGTTTGTTCCAAGAGATTAGGGGGTTGATATTGTGCAATAATATATCCAGAGGGAATGATGAATAGTGAATTTTTCTGTGAGCTAGCACTCACTCAGACTCCGAAATTATTATCGATTTTGAATTATCATTTTTAATACAAACGGAACTGAAAATAAAAATAAAAATTGGATTATAATTTGGGAACAGAATAAATATTTGGTAATTGATATGTATGACTTGTGACAACTACATATATAAGATGGTATGGCTAAGTCATAGTTACTTCACAAATTAAAAGTAATTTTGGATGTGAAAATATGAACCGTTTGATGTGTTAAATACTACTACTACATGATGATAAGGTGCTTGTTTGGACGTCATCTTATATTTCATTTTGCCACTTAAAAGTGGAAAGTGTTTCAAGTTGAAAATTAAATGGGAAATAAAAATATTGTTTGGATAGTATTTTGAGCAAAAAGTTGTTTGGATGTTGGTTTTGAAAAAAAATATTTTGAACTACATTTTGAAAATATCAAGTACGAGTCATCACTAAACAATTAAATACTGTCAATTATAGTCACTTTAAAAAAGAACTTTTTCAAAAACAATCACTAAACAACAGAAACTTCGCAAATTTGTCACTCTAAGATTCTCCTTTGTTAGATTTCGTCGCTGAACTATTTTTAGTTCAAAAATGGTCATTACACTAACAAAAAGTATTTCAAGTTGGAATTTAAAATGTAAATCAGAAAGTTGTTTGGATTATTTTTTTTTCCATTGAATTTTGTATTTAAGAGGTAAAATGAGTTAAAATGTAAAATGAGTGCTTATCCAAACAAACACCACTATCAATATTTAATTCTAGAAGAATAAAGTCACTATCAATTAGTTTCATTTGTCTATGTATTTTCTTCATTTTTTAATTTCCAATAACAATTCCGTGGAAGGCAGGCATTTTCTGACTGAATATAATAATATAATAATAAGTCACATTTTGCCACCTGACAGACTAAACCTACGACGCCGTTGTAGTAGTATTTATCCTGTTCTATCATTTTTTCCACACATTCCAAAGCCAAATTACAGCCAGATTTCCCACCGCCGGCCGGCCACCGATCAACTCCTTCCCCCGTCCGGAGCTATGTGTACGTTAGAGAAGAAAGGCAATATTTTCTATCTGACGCTGACCGGCGAAGATGAGCACCGTTTAGACCCGGTTCTGATCGACTCTATCCGCTCGCTTTTATCTCAGGTCAAGTCCGGAGCCTCCAGAGGATCCGTTCTCATTACCTCGGGTCACGGCAAGTTCTTCTCCAATGGATTTGACCTCAAGTATGTATTATATCATCGACTAAATACCGTTATTATTTATACTTTCAATTTTAGTAATGTAATTTTATATTTTTTTAGTCATTTGCTAATTACTGTATTAATTATGCATATATCGCCAGTGATGGAAGTGATTTTAGTGTATTCGAGGTTTAATTTTATGTTGAAGGTTTTTTCCGATTTGATAGTTTATAATGTCAATTTCCGGAATGAGTTTTATCCTAATTGTGTAGAAGAAGAATAGCTCTGTTTCAAAACCTCTGGTTTTGGTGGATTGTTAGGTTTTAGTCCTTTTGGAGCTGTAAATTGTTAAGCCTAAAGTTCAACTGATGGTATTCTTCTGGTGGATTATTAGGTTTTGTTGTATTACAATAGAGGGAGTTTAAGTTTCTCAATCTCATTCATGAACACTTTGGAAACTTAGTGAAAATTAGAAATGCGCCTTTCCAATCAGGGAAAAGAAAATTATACTGTGTACCAATTTTTCTGTCGAAAATGGATTTTACATGCTGATACAATTTTGCTGTCGGTACTTGTCTACAGGGGTGGGGTTAAAGTCATACCCTTCGGTCTTTTTTAGTCCATTACTCTGTTAATCGGATGCATTATCTGCTATACCCTTGACAAGAATTAGTTAGCTTTAGGCTATATTTGATTGAAGTCATGATACAGATGGTAGTGATTGATTCATTGCTAATCTGATAAGAGCAATGATTTCAATCGAGATTGACTTATGTGAGTACATTATATTGTGGTTTATTAGGTATGCCCAAGCTGCTGGTTCAGTTCAAGGTGCTAAAGATCGATTGCATAACATGGTCGAAATTTTTAAGCCGGTGGTGGCTGATCTTTTATCCCTACCGATGCCAACAATCGCTGTCATCACAGGCCATGCTGCTGCAGCCGGTTTATTGCTAGCAATGAGCCACGATTACATTCTGATGAGGTCAGACAAGGGCGTGTTATACATGAGCGAGCTAGATATAGGAATGACTTTGCCGGACTATTTCACTGCTATGTTCAGGTCAAAGCTTGGAAACCCATCTGCTCGTCGGGCATTACTGTTAAGGGCTGCAAAGGTGACGGGTGATGAGGCGCTGGGAATGGGAATAGTAGATTCGGTACACGGGAGCGAGGAAGAGACCAGGGAAGCCGCGCAGCGATTAGGAGAGGGTTTAGCCAAGAAGAAATGGGAAGGTAAAGTGTACGCAGAAATCAGGAAGTCCTTGTACCCTGAGCTCTGTGGAGTCTTGGGATTGAAAGATACAATCGTATTGCCTGCACGCCTTTGAGCAGGAAAGAAAACCGCCATTCTTGATGGAACTTACTGAAATTGTATTAGGCTATCCTTGTACTGTTTTCCGAGTACTTCAAGTCTCAATTAGGCTAATAAGCAACAGGATTGGACAAGCGGAGATCCTGTAACATGAATGGACACTAAAATTTCTATCAAAATACAATCTCACATTTAACCTTATGTTTATATACTTCATTACATATTGTGCGCGGAAGCTCTCCGAGCTAATAACTGAACCATCTTTATAGAATATCTTCCCTCCTAAATGTAAAGTCAGTTTGTTGAATTAAAACAGTATGAAAAGTGGGACTCGATTACGCTCATAGGACAGTTCCAACCAAATCTAAAATTTACAGAGGACTAATAATCTTCTTCCAGAAAGACCAGACCGGCTAAATTCATGTAAGTACAAGTGAAGGCAATCCAGAACAAACTAATAGTATATACTTATTTTGCAGAAAAATGGCATTTTCTATTGTTTGAGTCGATTTTGGCCGTCTATAAGTGACCAATTTTGTCCGCCTGTTTTTGTAACTTCTGAATGATCTCCGCCTGTGTTCGTTAACCAACGTTGCAATCATACTCCATCAATCGACATCGGGAAAAAAAAATTATCATATTAATTTGTTTAACTGTTTTGAGTAGGCATTGTAATCCCTCCATATAAATTCTCCTCGGCTTCAATAAACGATGAAAATAAAAAGGTACAGAAGTCTTACCAACAAATCTACGACACCGTTGTAACACTCTCTTTTGTTCCATAATTATTACCAAAGCATACATCTTATGCATTCCATGATTATTTCCAGCCGACCACCGGTCAAGTCCTCGTCCGCCGGAGCCATGTGCACGTTGGAGAAGAGGGGCAGTATTTTCTATTTAACCTTGACCGGTGAAGATGAGCACTGTTTAAACCCGCTTCTCATCGGCTCCATCAGGTCGGTTTTAGCTCAAGTCAAGTCCCAAACCACCCGAGGGTCCGTTCTCATCACCTCGGCTCATGGCAAGTTCTTCTCAAATGGCATTGACCTCAGGTAGTAATTAATAAATACCCACTCCCCCCAAAATTATTGTCTAAAGTTTGAAATTTTATTTTCAGTACAATTTGAACTAAAGATGAAAATCTAAACTAAACAATAATTTCGAGACGAAAAAATACCACAATTAACACGACTCTTTAGTTCGAAGTTTTCCAGTTTATTAATAAATGTTGTCATTGCATAATGTCAACGCGATTTTATTTTTCAGTGATCGTACAAGTTTTAGTAGTATATATTGCGTTTCAATCACGATTGAATTTCACCAAAGCGTTACATGTTGTTGGTGAATCAGGTATGCTATGGCTGCCGGATCATATCAAGCGGCAAAAGATCGAATAATGTACATGGTGGACATATTTAAGTCATTAGTGGCCGATTTCATATCGCTGCCCATGCCTACAATCGCTGCCCTAACCGGCCACGCGGCCGGATGCGGCTTACTGTTGGCAATGAGCCATGACTACATTACAATGAGGTCGGAAAAGGCGGTGTTATACATGAGCGAATTAGACCTAGGATCCAGTTTGCCAGACTGTTACACGAGCCTTACGGTTATGTTTAGGTCAAAACTCGGGTCGCCCTCGGCTCGCAGGGCATTACTGTTGAGGGCTGCAAAAGTGAGGGGAAAAGAGGCGCTGGAAATGGGAATAGTAGACTCGGTGCATGGGAATGAGGAAGAGACTATGAAAGCTGCAAAGGGTTTGGGAGAGGAATTGGCTAAGAAGAAATGGGAAGGTAATGTTTATGCGGAAATTAGGAAGGCATTGTATCCTGACTTATGTAGAATTTTGGGATTGAAAAATTTAGAAGTGTTGCCTTCACGGATTTGAGCTAAAATGGAAGAAGAAATTGCCATTGTTGATGGAATATTGGAACTTATCTACTTTTATAAGATTATGGATGTCTTAATTCTTGAGTTGTTTAATTTTTGTGGAAATTAACTTTGAAAACAGAGCCTTTCTTCACAAACAAATTAAGAACGAAAATTTATTTCATTTTTGTTTTATAAAAGAACCAGGTATATAGGTGCACATATCACATTTAAACTAATTTCCATGGCAGTCACTGAATTTGATCGGCTGGCTTTTTGCATGTGTTTTTTAAAAGTTATACACTTTTTGTCCTAGAATAATTATTTCATTTGTTGTACAATTTTAATAAGATAATAGAACAATTATTTTGTAATGAAAGTATCGAGTACGACTTTAAGTCTTGGATTTTGTTACAAGCTAGCTGTTGTAAGATGGATGTAGTTAGTGATAGATTGTTTTATAAATTGGTTGCATCACTAGCTAAGATTATAGTATGAAGCATAACAAATGCTAAAGTGCAACCTAATTGGACAAACTAAAACGACTAAGTCAACAAAATCGCCCCTCATATCTTTGGAAATTTACTTTTTCTTGTCACTACACTACATATTTGAGCAGTCTTGAAAATGAAAGAACCTTTTACATTATCTTAATGTTTGTAATGGACAAAAATAGTGATTGTTTACTCTGATACATTTGTCCCAAACACCAATATGTGCAAACATTTAGGTCTTGGGTAGACCATTAATAATTGTCTGTTTTTCCTGTGTTTGTCTTGTATTTTTGCCTAAAATTTTTCATATGACCGTAATTCTGATTGAATGGGTATGGTTAGATGGTTCTGATTATTTAATCGTAATTCTCATTCAATTTGAAAATCAATATAACCCTAGGATTATTTGGCTCAATCATTTCAGTTAACTGGATTTCAGATATTTTTTCTATGTATATTGATCATCTTAGCTTTCTTATACAATACCAATAGCTTCGTACCGACATCGAAATACAACGACATCTTAGCTTTCTAATTATGTTTCGGTTAATGTCAAACAGATAAGGACGAGTAGTTGTTACCAAATCAAGGCTGAGGATGAAAACATCGTGCGAGAAACATTAGAAATAAAATATTTCATCTGTACCAAATTTATTGTTGTTCACTCTACATTTTCATTTTAGTACAATTTGTACAAAGAATAAAAAGTTAAACTGGACAATTATTTCAGGACTAAAGGAGCAAATCATAATACAATATTCCTTAATTAAGAAACTTGTTTGTATGTTCATGTAATTTGTAACATGCGCGCGAATTATCTCGGTGCTAATCATCGCCATGGAGCAACATTATGGACAAAAAAAGCATTCTGGTCAAACTCCAATTTTGTACTGAATGTATGTACAGGCTGACCAATCTTCTGCCGGAAAAGGCCTGTATTTCGACGAAGTACAACTCTAATCAACCCAGATTTAATATAATGGTAATTCATATTCTTATAATTAGGTATACGTGACAAAATTTTGTCCCATTGAGTTTTGAGTGATTACATGGTTGATCTCTTCTATATATATGTACTTCCTCTCTTTGATCGATGATCAATCCTTAATAAATTGAGTACACAGAATCGTAGATTGCTAAATAAATAAATCTTCTATATATAAACGACGCAACTATTCCAAATATACCATAACCCTTATGGATTCTATGGTTATCGCCGGCCAACAACCGGTCGAATTCTCTACCGGAGCCTTGTGTAACTTGGAGAAGAGGGGTAATATCTTCTATATGACCTTGACCGGAGAAGATGAGCACCGTTTAAACCCGGCTCTCATTGGTTCCATTAGGTCGGTTTTAGCTCAAGTCAAGTCACAAGCCACGAGAGGATCCCTTCTCGTCACTTCGGCTCATGGCAAGTTCTTCTCCAACGGCATTGATCTTAGGTAAACAGTTCAATAAACGTGACTCATGTTTGTTTAATGGAAAAGGTACTCTATCGCCATCTAGTCTAGTATAATAAAATGTACTTTGCAATAGTAAAAAAGACGTTCTCAAACAATTCAACATGATTTTTTTTTATCACTTTAACATTTTAACATTGAGTTTCACCAAATTAACTTTAAAAGCATGGTGGTGGTGTATTAGATATGTTCTTGCTGCCGGTCCATATCAAGCTGCAAAAGATCGACTCATGAAAATGGTGGACATGTTCAAGCCATTGGTGGCCAATCTCATATCGCTACCCATGCCTACAATCGCCGTTGTCACAGGCCATGCGGCCGGAGCAGGCCTAGTGCTCGCAATGAGCCACGACTACATCACAATGACATCGAACAAAGGCGTGTTATACATGTGCGAACTTGACCTAGGATCGAGTTTGCCGGACTATTTCACGGCCATATTTAGGTCAAAACTCGGCTCGCCCTCAGCTCGGTGCGCGTTACTGTTGAGGGCGGCGAAGGTGAGGGGCAAAGAGGCATTGGAAATGGGAATAATAGATTCGGTGCATGGGAATGAGGAAGAGGCAATGAAAGCTGCGAAGCGTTTAGGAGATGAATTGGGAAAGAAGAAATGGGAGGGTAAAGCCTATGCAGAAATTAGGAAGGGATTATATCCTGAGTTATGTGGAAGTTTGGGATTGAAATATACACATATACTGCCTTCCCGGATTTAAGCTTTTTCTTTGATGGAATGGAGCTGTAATGTGTGTCTCAAAATAACTATATATTGTCGATAATTGTTACAGAAACCATATAAATTTTCTTTCTCATTGATTAATTCGGTAGCTAAAGCATTCTCTACCATTTTTCTGCCTGTCAGTTTTCCTACTATGGAGAGAATGTTGCCCGTCTTTGTCATCTGTTATCCTGGTCCACTGCATTGATCCATGATTTTAATGCTCAGTTTGCAACAATGATTCTTCTATTATGCACTTGCGGTAATGCAAACAAACATTTGATATTCTAATTAAGAAACAAAATTAATTTCCCCTATATAAACATTACTCCCTCCATTTCAAAATGTAAGTCTTTTTAGATTCTGCACACAAACTAAGGAGACAATCACCCAACAATTAGTTTATGTGTTAAATATCTATTTTACCCTGTATTAATTACATTGAAACTATAAACAAAGACTAAATGAAAATAGATTGGCGTCATTTATTGATGATAAAGTTGGAAAAATAGTCATTAATTTGCCTAGAAATTGTAAAAATTGTCCCACTTCAATGGAAAAACCCGCGACCCTCAACGCTGCCCGTCCCGGAACAAGCCCACAACACGACCCGACAAACGGGTTCCCGAGACAAGCAACCGACTTTACCGAGAAATCAACCAAACCCGGCCAAGCCTACGCAGCGGAATACCAAAACTCGGCTAAGTGTTGGAGCCGTTTTTAGGCGGGCTATGTGTTAGCCGTTTTGTGTTCCGTTGCGTAGGCTCTTAACCGGGTTTGGGATTTCCCAGGTAAAGCTGGTTGCCGTTTTGTGTTCCGTTGCGTAGGCTCTTAACCGGGTTTGTGATTTCCCAGGTAGAGCTAGTTGTTTTTCTCGGTGAATTTGGTTCGAATCGTGCTGTGAGCTTGCCCCGGGACGGGCAGAGTTGGGGTCATCGAACTTGTATTCAGCTAACGATTAAGCATTTAATACGAGTAATTCCTTTGCGTAGTGAAACAGAAGGCAATCGTCAAAGTTATGTAAGATTTGAAGGGTCGGCCAAGCGGGCCAACCCTAAAGGTCCCACAAATTATGTCGGCCATATGTCTTGATTTCCATACAGCTCTCACCAATCAAGGGTAAGAGTGGCATATTTAGCCATCCGACCCTTTTAAGTCTTTTAATTTGCCAGCCAGCTTCAATTTATAGCAACTCCTTCAGCCAACATTTCCTCCACCCACCGATGTGGGACATTTGTGTTCCATCACCCCAGCAGAATCTTTTTACCCTGGTTTTTTCCTATTCGGAATTTTCACGACTCTGAACGTTCTCAAATACAGAACATTTTTGACACTCAATGTTCTCAATACAATTTTTTTCCGTCTCTAAATTGAAACGAAGATCAATACCGAAACTACAAAAAATATTAATACATTGTAACTTCAAGAAATAAGAACTGCTTTATCACAAAGATCCAGAGATGGTATTTGAGGTTAGTAAGAGAATCTGCAAGCTCTTATGCTAGTAGAATCTAACTCAGAAAGGAAAGGTTTGAAAATGGTTGTTAAGAATTGGGAAATTACATCAACTTCGCGAAGAACTTGAGCTACCAAAACTAGTTACAGCTAACCACTGGTTAGATTTGTCAGGACTGAAATCCAAATTCGACAGCCTTCTACTACTCGCAACAAACTTGATCTTTGCTTGTTTAGAATTCTACTTTGCTAAGAATCACACAAAGGATGCCTACTGCTTTTCAAGAATTTATGTAACACAATGCTTGTGCCTGGAGAAAATAAGAATCCCTGTACTTTCTACCAGTGCCGATGTGAATCCCATTCTGCATCCAGTCCTCTCGATATATCCAGGCCTCTCGACTATCCAGAACACCAAGTATCTGCAAAGAATTTGAAGAAGCAAGAGAGACGACTTTAGTTTCATGCTTCAATTGAGTTTTGGCAGAAACCTTTTTCATGATCTATGAGCACGAAAGTCTTGAGTACACTTGATTTCAAAATTGCAATACAAAAATAAACTATTTACTGTAGAATTTTCCACGTGTGTTCTTAACCATTCGTGGCCGATAACAGATCCATGTAATTAATCATATCCAAGGGCAAAAGGAATTTTCCGGCATACTCATTCAGGCCAGAAGTAATATTTGGAAGCCCAATATGCTAATCCAGAATCCTGATACTACCATCAGAGAATATAAACAAATAATTTTGCAGGTACCATCGTAGATACTTACTGCTCCTCCCTTCCACGTAACAAACGTTGGATTTGTTCTTGATTGCAAGACCTAAATGTGCAAAGAGTTGGGTGTCAATGACAAGGAGGATTAACAGACACTTCACAAATTGGAAAAATTAGAAGGGAAAAGAAAAGAAAGACTGAATATGATATCTCGAGGCGAAAAAAGGGAAATAGTGGACAGATTAGCATGAAATTAGTAAGCCTTGAAAGTGACAGGTGATGAAAACTTTTAAATCAAAAATATGATTCAGCAACCACATGAACAGAGAAATTCCTACAGGGAACCACTAGATGGCATATTAGTAAGGCAACCAAGAAATTTTCTTAACAAAATGTATCAATGGAACTCAAAAATTCATATACTCACTTCAACAGTGTCAATGGCTTCATTTGGAGGAATTGCATGCAAAACCCTGCAAAGAGAAGGATATCAGAGAAATTAAGAAATAATAAGGCCTTTGCCATTGAAATGAAATGGAAAAATGTCTATAGATATGCATGCAAAGGCCATATTACAAGAAACTACTGTAAATTTCCTTGATGTGGTCTCTCCACACTTTAAATTTCTCTTACAATGTTCACGTCAACTTAAAGCCTACATTATTATGTACACACACACACACACACACAGAGTCTAAACAAACCTGTCCTCCACAGCAGAAACGAGACCACTAGTCAGAGCCACTCCGCCAATCTGCATAATTGAACCATGTAAAATTTCAGTCTAGAAAGATATGTTAGATGAAATTGGATTAAAAACTAGACGACGATTTAGCACTTGCCAGTTGCATGCTAAGAAACAATTTCCTCTGTAGGTCTATACGTCCTGCCCAAAGTCAAATTTATAGGAGGTAAGACAAGAGATCATTCAACTTTATTCTGATAGGGAAAAACTCAATAACAGATTACCGGTTGAGAGAATGCTCTTTGTAATAGCTTCAGCAAGACCGATGCTATCCTCTCTGTTGGGTCTTGCCTGAAAAATTGGGTAGCTGTCCCACATGGGATATGAGCCCGTGCTTCCAGGGAAAAATCCTTCAGGGTGCCACGTCTCTTCCAGCATGTCATCATGATCTTTGAACCTAGTGAATAAAGAATTTAATGCCCAGTCAAAAATGTCCCAGAAGTTATAAGTTGAACAAATATAAAAGGACACAGAAGTATCACTGACCAAGTGCGCGGTGGTGAAGGATAAACATCTGGAACCAAAAGCATCGGGTAGAATAAACCCATTGGAGGAACCTACTCAGAAACAATCACAAACAATCTAAACTTATTTCGCCTTCTCATGAAGTAAAGCAAACATAATGCAAAGATGACAACTTCAGCACGTCCTAAATATACTAATTTAATTTAGGAAGCTACAATTAGTGTACAGGGTACCAGACACAAAAAATGACGACTTCCCAGACAAAAGATTTTGGGCCTCAAAATCAACTCAAATTGTTAGGAGTAGCACAGTAGACTTTCTTGAATTCGCATGTAAGCCTGATGCATTTATGGATAGTCATAAAAACATCAACAAAATGTTTTACACCAACTTAACCATGACAGCCCCGTATAATGTTCTAATAAACCTTCACCCTTTCTTAAATAACGACATTACAGGACCTTTTTGTAGATAAATAGCCATGATGCAAGATATTATGTAACGAAGATCCAATAATGTTTGTTAAAATAACGAAGTGAGTTGGGGCGGGGGGGGGGGGGAATAAGATGCAACTCATCTTTCTAACCCAACAGATCTGCAAGTATTGCATATGACCAAGACACAATAACAAAGAACCAATCTGCAAGTATTGCATAGATCCACATATGTATACAATCAAAAAAATCTTCTCAAATACAGAGTATATTACTAGTACTTAATATAATATCAGATCGTTGGAATGGACAGGAACCACCAGCTGTAAGTGATTGGACAAACACTCGACAGAATTCCGAACGAAATTTGAAGGGGTACTATAGTCTATTCATGTTTAGCAGTTCAATCAGCAGAAACTCAGCATGTTTTAATTCGTTTTGGCCCCTAGTTTCTTAAGACTACAATACAAAACTCCATACCCATATTATAATGAGCATTAATAAGGACTAGACCACTATGAAGGTGAAGTTTGATAAAAGGCATACATTTAAAGCAGTCAGCCTTGTTTTGTGAGAACCAGGTGGCAAGCCATTTTCATATGAATGAACCACTGCAACACTTTCAACTTCTCCTTCCTGGATGTAAAGAACAAATCTGTCAGCTAAGAAATATGCCATATGAAGAGAGGCTGCCAATTTCAAAAACAAAATGCCAATTTATTACAGAAGCCAACTCTACAAACAAACAAAATGAAGCTTCTACTTATACAGCTCATTTGCTAAGGGTCAAGATGAATAAGTATGGGCATGGTGAAACAGGTTCCATAACTGAATTACTCAATCGTACACGCAAGGGAACACAAATGATGTTGCACATGAATATGAAAACACCAGTTTAAGATGAAACCAACCATCAGCCTAGCTCATGGAGAGAACATTAGACACAATCTTGACCTGTATTAGGTCTTGACAAACTTTTGTATTTAAAAAATAATCTAAAATGTGGTTTAACAGTTTAAATCTTGACTCCAAAAGTAACACTGAGCAGTTCTAGGTAGAAAGGGGTGATTCCACACCACATGTATTATCTAAAATGATTGGAGTAGAAACCATTGTTAATGCTTTCAAAATAATAAAAAGGCAGTCTAAAAGAATTCCGGAAAAGATGCGTAGAATTTTACAACCATTTAAACTGAAAAAAGCGCTGCCTAAAAGAGGTGTTAAGCAATCTGGTCTCTCTCTCTCTAATGGCACTAACAGAAACATTAACAATAATAACAGTTAGATACTCACCCTGATGGAGCAGTGGGATTCTCGAAGTTTGTTGAGCATCAACAAATCAACAGGCTTTGTCAAGGAATCAGTTCGAACTGGAGGCCATGTTTGATGATGTCTCTGAGTCCAAAGAAGGCACCTTGATATATCCTGAAGACAGTTTCATAAACATTTATAGGTGTGCCAATGCTCTTTCAGATGGGTGGGGGGGTTGAATTTCAGCTTATTATTGGAAAGAAAATCAAGCTAATAAAGATCATGATACATCCACCACACAAGACAAAGAAACTTGCAGTACCAAACTAGTTAGCAACCTAACTAGCGCCAAATGAAACTTTGAATTTCTAAGCCAAAATCCTACTATTGGTCCCACCCAGAAAAACATTAAAAGTAACAGTCTAACAGATGCTAAAGTGATCCCCGTAAAAATGCAAGTTTGCAGAGGATACTAATAAAAACCAATCGGACAAGGAGAAAAAGAATTATCACCTCTCCACCATATCGTAATGTTATTTGTGTTGTAGGCAATACAGCTCCATCCTGAACAAGAACATAGGCCAAGTTGCCATTACTTATTGCAGAATCAAACTCAGATTTCTCGAGCAATGAAAGTGGTCTATCTAACTCAGAGAGCTAAATGCTATTCAGTTTTGCAAATTTTCCAAACAATCCAAATTCTGTTACAGTTTCGAAGCCAAGGAAAAACACATCAAAGAAATGCTAAAGAAAACATCTCAACTTCTTAAGATATACCAGGAACATACCTCAACACAGATAACTGATGTCACCTGGGCACCCAAATTAACAATACATGCTGTTGACAAACCATTTCCAAAAGCTGCCGCCAGACCTTCCTGATGCAACAAATTCAAAGGATGTCATCTTGTGATAAAGAGACACCTACATGCGGTAGACAAAGGTACAAAAAATTAACGAAAATATATTCACCTGGTGAACCACTGCAGACCCAAAGCGCAGATCTCGTAAAACAACGGATAGCAACTCCTTAATTTCTGCTTAAAGACAAGAAATCAAATCATTAAGGAGCTCAGAATTGATAAATAACACACAAGTTTCTCAAAATGCAAGTACATTTATCTCATGTAAATGTGAGTACATGTACTCATGAATAGATACATCGGCGTTCTTACATTGAAAATTGAGTAAATAAAACAATCAATATTATTTACTATGATAATTTGGACAACATCTATACCCATTATTGAGAAGAAGCTGCTAACTACAACCATCAAAGTCAAGGATTCAGATTTTCAGTTAAATGAAAAATCATAATATTCATGTGCTAAATCAGCAAAAGGCGAAAAGAAATCTAGACCATAATTACCACGATTGTCAAAAGTTTCAGGAAGAACAAGAACGCAGGAAAACATAGCCCTCTCATTCTGTTGGATGTGCAGTTTCTCAGTCAAAACCCAATCCCAAATAACATGCAAGTCTTCTAATACCTGTAAGAAAATAATGAAATAAGAAAAACGGTCAGGTCAACACAGACAGGAGATAGTTCATCAATATCCAATACAGACCATCCCCCCTCTAATGTCGTACTTGACATTTTTGGGAATTTAGTATCAAGATCTTACCTGCTGTGCAGGATAATGCAGAGAGATGTTAAGATGACCTCTGCGGATGGGGCGGTGTAAGCAATATGGTTCAGCTGGAGATATTCTAAGAGCTTCCTCACCACATATATACTCTCTATATTTTCTTTCACTTGAAGGGTCTCTACTTGTGATATCATTACCATCATTCTGTTGTGGGGAATTCATGGTTTGTTCTTTGTTCTGTGAATGATCTGTTGAATTCATAAAAATACATTAAGATCAACATTTGAAACATCCCAAAGTAAGTAGTTTCTTGACTTATTGCACCGGAAAAAGTTAACCACATTGTCCCAAGAATTCGGAACAGAATGACCATTTCAAAGAACAACAATGTGTTAGCCCTGTCAAGTCAAACTACCAGAAAACCTTTTCAGCGCTTTACAGCAGAAAGGGGGCATGGGTTGCTTTACCTGATGTAGAGGGTGGATTGGTGGTCTTCTCAAATACGTCAGTCCAAGAGAATGCCGTCTCTTTCTTGGCAGTTTGGGGAGGATATACATCAATGCGACCCATCTGCATGGAGTTCATGTCAAGGTCTTACATATACCAATGCATGCATAGGACATCCATCTAGATTTATCTATTAGAGAACCAGAGTTAATCAGTTTAGAGAATCATAATGAACTAGTAATACATAATTACATACGGGTCAAAGCTAAGATTCATATAGTTCAGGTATTCAACTCAGCTCATCATAAAAAAAATGCAATTGTTATTTCCAGCTCCTTTCGTTCTTGGCATAAATAAAATTTGTATACCAGATTTACCTTTCGAGGGTATGCATTATTTGTGACCTCCTCGTCCAGGAACGGGATTTTCATTAGCGATGCAATCTGGATCAAGATAAAGGAGATTCTCATTTTCTTTCAAATTAAAAGGAAGTACACTCAACACTTTATGAACGCATTAGGAACTTTGACTTACAACGTCATATGCTTTCTCCCTTTCCATATGTTGTGCTGTAGTAACCTGGGAATTAAGCCCCTAAAGCACACACATATAGACAGACACTCATCCATTAGTAACAGAACGATCTTCATATTAGCAAAGAACAAAAAGAAAATAATAAAACTTTTCCAAGCCCTTTAATAGCACAAGAATAGAAGCAGGGAGAGGCCAATTTGAGTATGAAATAAGGGCAAAACGAACCTGGTCTTTAACATTTTTCTTGGTGGATTTGCCATCTACAGTGATTCTTCGAGCAATACAATGAGGGATATTCAAAGGGGCGTCTTGTTGAGCAAACCCAATTCTTACATTAGCAGAACCTAAAACAATTCGAAAATCCTTCATGACACATGATTTTAGTTGGCAAAAGAATCCCACAAATTTCTGCGCAAACAAAAGCATAATTAATGAAGAATGATAAAAGACAGGCAGGGAGGAGGAACCTGGATTGATGACAACAAGATTGGAGCCACGTTCAGCAAGGAATTGAGAAGGGACTATAGTTTTCAGATAATCCTGCCAAATTTTACATTTATAAAAAAAAAATGATCAAAACTTTATATTGTTTCTCAATCCAGAATATAGCAGAGAAGTATACGGGATGAAGTACCATGAGCGATATAGACTGAGGAAATCCTCTCGAGCGGGTGAAAGACTCCAGTGATTCTTCACTATTTCCTTCTTTTAACTACACTATGATAATTAATTTTCCAACAGAACGGCTTGAGCTGTCCCGGCGCCACCTTCTGTATTGGTGGGATTTCAGAGCAAAACCGGCGAGTAGAGAACTTTTGTCCAAGTGTCTGAATAGCCGGAAACTTTCCCGGACGGTGAAGTTTGAGGTGAAGTTGGCCCAGCCCACAAATTTTAATTGGAATTTGGAGGTAGAAATATTAGGAGCTAATAATCAAGTTCATCCGTCGTGTTAAAAATAAAACTAAAAAAAAAAAAAATCCGAATTTTAGTCTTATATCTCATTCCCTATTAAAAATTAATTAATGTATTTTGTCGAAAACAATAATTAATTAATTTGTGGGGCCAAAACGATGAAACCGAAATGGGCAATTTTTTTTTATAGTGATGCTGTAAATTACTGATCACTTTTGTGACATTCAAATCTGCAATGTGCCATTTTCAAAATAAAAATAAAAATAAAAAATCTGCAATGTGTCTAAATTCAGCCATTATGCTTATCAAAAACTCAAATGACTGATTTAGCCATTATATTTATAGAGCGATCTTATGTAGCAATTGAGTTAGACAATTACAATGTGATTATTAGTTGACATTGGTAGCGAGTTTCATAATATCTATTAATAGTTTTAGAAATTGTTCTGGTACTTTAGGTATTAGTCTCCTTCATTAGTTTATTATAAAAAATGAAATAAAAAAAAACTCTCAAATGAGTAATGTATACAAGCTGATAGGTGGTAGTTTTAAAATGATTATCACGCTTGTCGTACATGAATAGCAAAATTTGGTCCAGTGTTACCAAAATATTTTGTTAAGGATAACATATTTCACTCTATAAGAAAGGATTGTAAACGAACATCATCCCAGACTACAGTTCTGAAAAATCAGACTCAGATTCAAGAGCTTTCCATTCACAGAATTTCAGATCATTGCTACAACTACGAAAATTTCAAGGTACTACAAATCCATGATATTCTGAACAATTAATAATATCTTGCCCTAGAAGAATGGTCTTCACAATGCACCTTGTTAGAGTTATATCCAAAATTAGGATATGGCAAACTACAATAGAAGATCAAAGAAATTTTTACTCAAAAACTCCCACAATAAATATCCAGTATATAGCTGACTTGATTGGCAACCCCTTCAAATCACCGGATTCTAAATCTCTTTCAACAGCCTAATCTTCTGTGGTACCTTCTTAGACATTCCCCTAAGCTGCTTTTGCTTTGGGGGTCTTTCTCTTCTGCTGCTTCCTAAGAATGGAATTCTTCATGCCAATGAAGAAGAGCAATGCACCAAAACATGCTGCCCACTGCCAAATAAACGATCTCATTTTAATCAACGCATTGCAAGAATCCATCATAAAGCATGTTAGGGAGTGTAGCATCAAGACAACAAACCTGAAGAAAACTTTCCAGATGTTCCCAAAACTCTGGGCTACCATATTGATAGTTGTAAAAGTCATCAAAAAGAGGAATGACAAGCAGCAAGTAAAACATCTGCAGTTTGAAAGAAACCAAGAATCAGCATGAAATTGCTCCAATAAAGGAACAAAATTCATTTTCCTGATGTTGTCTACTGAACTACCACCGACTGTTTAAAAGACAATATATGTAAAGATAAATCAATTGTTAGAAGTAGAGTCCAAACCAGTAGATAAGCTCCCATTGTGTTTCCAAATACAAACAGCAAGCCTCCCAATGCCTTCAGAGCAATAGTGCCGACAATGATATGCAAAAGCTGGAGAGAGCAAAGCAGAATGCATTAGCAACAGGACGTGGTAAAATATTGATAGACCACAAACTGTCACATGGAACCACAAGGGAGATCAGAATCGTATTCTTACATCAATATCCAAGCTCCCCTCCCCTAGCTTTGAGTTCAGAAATGTCTGGAGAACTGCCAGCTTTGGAGCCCAAAGCTTTCCAGTCTGTCCTCTACCGGGATCATCAAGTTCATTGAACCTACAAGGACAGAAGCATTAATAATATAACAATGAAATCTTGCAACATGTTTTCAAATAAATAAATACACTTAACATTTAAAGGAAATCAAATTAACTATGAAAAGATTTTACTCAGAGCAGCAACATGCCAACGAGTTAGCAATAGGAACATTCAACAAATACTAGTATCACATATGGGTTGCACTTGTTGGAGTTGATTTGCCTACCATAAACATAATGGATATTAAGGGCGATAAGTTAAGGAGGCAAAAAGTCATCCCAGTTTAGAAACTAATATCTAAGATAAAACTCAGATAAACTCTTTGCCTATCAACGCATCGAATTTAAGCCCATCGAGAGATATTCTTATAAGGAGTTCACAGCACTGCAACTCAAAGTCAAAGCCAACATAAATCAATTTACATTTAGGGCAACAATTGCACAAACAAGTGTAACAATTAATAAAGAAGATTCCTCCAGAAGTTATATCTTGCTTAATGCAAAGACAACAGGGAGAGCTTCATTTTTCATATCATGAAGTAAACTTAAAACAGGGTACCATAAAGAGTGCATTGGCATTTGCTGGAAAAATTCATTATCAGTCTTCGAACCATTAGCAAGGATCAATGAAAGAATAGGACCCTTTGTCCCTATGTTTTTCAATGATGAACAAATCCCAACAATTTTTTTAAACTTTCACCTCAACATTGGAGTAGCTCATAAGCAAAAAAGTACAAAATCTCTCAAAGCCCAATTCAACATTTTCCCTTCTTTTGGTCATCACCAATTAGATTACCAAATAAATTTAACTGTAGCATCCGTACATTGATTTGACATTAATCAATCCATCACAATCATCACACTCCTTGTTCTTTGTTCTACACAAAAACAGTAATCAATGAAATAGAAACGTGGAAAAGGGATATTTGGAACCAAAAAAAAAAAAAAAAACCAAAAATTGAAATCATAACTTCACAAGGAGCTGGATCTAACAACCATACATTACAAACACACAGTAGCAGAGAAACAAAGTCACCACCTTTAATAGCCAAAGGCTTATTTTCAAAACAGATCTAAAAACAAGAAAAATTCAAAAGGGAAGATTTTGAAATACAGCATACCCTTGCCAAGCGGAAAGGATGAAGACAGAGGAAAACAGAACTCTTCCCATAAACGAAACGAAACCCATGATTTGCTTGGCTGATCCCTTTTCGCCGTTTCAGCTAAATTTTGCTAAGGAAATTGGTTAATCTAAACAAAAGCAAATCTGGGGTCGTGTCCTTTCTTTGGCAGGGGGATGATGAACTTAGGCAGCTTGAATTGTGGTTGGTGGGACTGTGGCTTTGGTGGTGGGATTGATGAAAATTGGTAATGTTTTTATTGGGTGGGATGCGGAACTGTGCTGCTCAATATTACTGTGTGACTGTTGTTTTTTACAATTTTCAAGGTCATCCATTCGTAATTTGCCAAGATCATGTGGAGTGAAGAAGTACATAAAATTAGGGTATCTTTGGTATCTTTTCGTCACAAAATTATTGTATAATGTTATGTTACAGTATTAATTTTTAACATAATAAGTTGGATAATATTTTGAGACGGAATAATTCACATTCTTATTTTGATACTTGAGACATTTGAAGATGTGTACATTTTAAGACAAATTTTTTTAGAAATTATGTATTTCGCGATAATAACAACAACCTCCATTCACAAATAGATGTCGTTGGAAGAAAAAATAAATATTTCAAAATATATATCGTTTTCACAAACCGAATTATATTTTGTCAATTTTTTCCGATACTACTCTTACATTGGAAACTGTAACGATGTTTAACGTATAGTTGTATTAGAACCAAATGTAATTGAGACTACAATTATATTAAGAGTAAATGAAGGTATTATAGTATTTTAGCAAAATAATTATTATCTTCTTAAACTTTGTGAAATATCTCCAGCGACATCTATCTGTGAATAGAAGAAGTATAATTTTTTACCTTATTCACATGATGGTCAAGCTATTCAATTCCTTCAATTTTCTAAGTTTGATTAACATCAAGCAATTTGCAGTCTCTGGTGAAGACTAGATGACTAGTTGCAATTAAAGTATGTTTTAGATAAGACTCACAGTGCCATATAATTAAATATTTACAATCCGAAGACAATGAATCCGTATCCAGTGCACTCGGGTATACCGTATACCCTCACCAAACACACGCACTACATGCGCTTAACATTTTTCACCTTTACATTAAATGCACAAATAAAATTATTTTCATCCATTTTACTGTTTTCATCCTCACTCACAAACACACACAATTGCTGATTATCCATAATTTATCCACAAGTTGTAAACTGGTTATCCAAAAAGGGTAAACTGGTTATCCAGAAGGTGTAAACTGCTTATCCTCAAGGTGTAAACTGCTTATCCTCAAGGTGTAAACTGGTTATCCACAAGTTGTAAACTGATTATCCAGAAGGTGTAAACTGATTATCCACAAGTTGTAAACTGGTTATCCAGAGGTGAACAAGCAAACAACATGTTAATTGGGGGGCTTTGCCCCCCATGATAAACTAAACGACTCCTGCGGCTACCGGAATCGCAGGTCACCAACCTGCCCCGGCTGCGCCACCCCGCCGAACACGCCAATTTATCTAAGGTAATCCTTTTTTCGTGTGTGTGTAAGGAGAGTGTGTTGTTGCGTTAAGAGGGGACACAAATTACTTGTATAAATCCCCCCGTGATAAACTAAACGACCCGGCTGTGCCGGTGCCCACGGCTGCGCCGCCCCTCCTGCCGAACACGGTAAATTTCATACATAATATTTAATTGAATGAGGGGCATTTTGCCAAATGATTGAGAACAAAAAATAAATGATGGGCAGTTTGCCAAATGATGGAAATAAAGGTACGTTCAATTGTGTATAAGTAATTGTCCATATTGTCAATACTGGTTATCCAACTGTGTATAACTAATTATCCATATTGCCAACACTAGTTATCCAGATTCTGAACACTAGTTGTCCATAGTGTGTAGCTGGTTATCCATAGTGTGCACAATGGTTATCCAGCTATGTTTAACTAGTTATCCATATTGTGCATACTGGTTATCCACAGTGTCAATACTGGCACAGTAAATTTTCAAAATTTGAATGAATTTGGTAATTTATATATGGCACGTTTAAAAAAAAAAAAGAAAGCTGAATTATCTAACGAGCTCACGTTATTCTAAGAGAGTAAATTACACGCGCAGGGGGATACACAGTGCCCCGGGTGTAGCAGATAATTTGCCAAGACAAGGGGAAAAAAGAAGAAGAAGGTCCGAATAGGACACCAAACTATCACAACTAAATGTGAAATTGAGTTCGATTTGATGTGTGATTTGTGTTTTTATTTTTATGTTTTTCCCTCTTTACATCATCCTCAAAATATTCGTTCCATTCCTTATAATTTTAGCAAATGGAGAAATTTCAAAATAAATTTGGTTTCTGATTCTAATATTTTCTTGTCTAAAATTTCCAAACTTACCATCAAAAGAAAAACTCCATTTATTTCAAAATAAGTGATGTTTTAGCAAAAAAGAATTTTCATAACAAGTTCCTTTTTTGAGAAAATTTAGTTAAATGACAGTAGAACTTGTCTAATTAATAAAAGGGGTATGACCTCGAAATATTTTTTATAAAAGGCGGTAGTTTATTTGCAAAAATAAACAAATCAATATAATTTTATAATGACATAATTATCCTTATTTTTTATTACCCTTTCAAAATCATGAAACACATAAAATTTTAAAAGAAAATCATAAAACACATAAAATAAAAATTAGTCTCCTTATGTTGTTTTCTGCATCTGTCTTCAAATATGCTTCAAGCTTGTGGTATAAAGAACTACAATTTATAGAACAAGGTTATTTTTCTTAGCAGGAATGAGCTCCTCCAATCGTAAATTCATATTTGAGAGGATTTCAATAAGTGTTTAAGCTTCTTGTCCAGGACAATGTAAAAGATAATGGCAATTTATTCTCTGAATAATTGCGAATGGATTACAAAAACTAAAATGCTATATGACCGTGGAATCTTATGGGATGTCTTTATACTTTTAGGTTGAGGATGAAAACGAAATAATAATAAATCAATGTCCAATTTTGAACTTTGATGTTTTTTTTTAATGAAAATTGATATTTTCCATTCCATGTGAAACATAATAAATCATATTTTATCGCATGATTCGAGTTTTACAAAAGATTCTACCAATGTTATAAGGTAAAACAACAAAATATACAGTAAGCAAGTGGAATCTTCAAATAAACTTTAGGGAGATCGTCATTTTAGCACACCAAACTCTATTTTTTGAGGTTCCTTTGATTTCTTTAATGGCTTCATCTTCAAGTGATAGACAATACTGCTCGTGATTTTTTGAACTTTGGTGTTTTACTTGGGTTTCTGTACCGAAAGTAGTTTTTGGACTTGTTTCGGAGCATCCATTGGGAAAGTTTTGTGCATGGTACATGCTTGACATAATGTCTCTGCTGGATTGAACTTCAATGTTTTTTGGAATAATGGCGTACCAAATAACCTGATTAGAAACCCTTTTTAAGTAGCTGGTTCCTTTTCAAAATTTCCATTATCTTGTGATTCATGAAGGAGTTGTGATGTTTTGATTAAGGAACAAGTCAGTTGGGAAAAAAAGACAGGTTGGTTCCTTGGCTAGCTGCTGATTAATGCTTGAAAGTATGCATCTTCTACTTCCTGATATGATGTGAATTTCTTGTTACATAGTGTCAAGAAAGAGGCAGGGCACTCAATTTCAGAAAAAGGCACGAATAGGGTTTCAATTTTGTTAAAAAATATAATCTCTAAGATGGATTTGGCGATTCTTTTATTATTTTTATTTTTTTTGTAAGAAATTATAAGGGTGATATCGACAATTCAAAGTATTTTTTGTTTTATGATTTTTAAAAAATAAGTTACTGCCCTTCATAAAAAATATTTTGAGATCATACCCTTTTTATTAATTAGACAAGTTCTATTGCCCTTTAACCAAATTTTTTCTTTTTTGTTCTTGATTCCAATGCACTTTTTGTCTTAAATTTTCAAAATTACCTTCAAAATAAATAATAATATCATCAGTAAGAATTTGTTTTAATGGGATTGATATAAGATATTCTAGTAATTTAATTACTTATTCTTAAACTCTGTATAAGTTGTAGGGAGTAGTATTATTGTTTTATTCAATTCATATTCACCTTTGGATAAACTTTCTTCATCCAAGATAAAGTTTTATCGACAAAAATTAAGATGTGATGTAATTAATGTTGGACTTCTTATATAAGTACCAATGAGACTATTCGACCCAAAAGATGTTGATAAACACACGTCAATTTGACATTTATTGTGATTTTCATCGAATTTCAACAAGAAGGCATCATTTTTTTTTTAGGTTTACAGATTTTTATGAACTTTTTGGTAGTATTAGGCAAGATATAAATGAGAGCCATTTTAGTTTCCTCCCCTCTATTTTTTCGGCCATTTTCCCATTGCTGTCATAGTTGTTCCCAATAGTCATTACTCAGGTACTTCGTGTTGTTGACATGAAGTCATGTTAATGTTTGTTTCACCGAACAACTCACTTTAATGTATGATAATAGTTGAGAGTTATCTAGAAGACTTTACAATGGGTATTACCACTTTCACAATGATAATTAAATTGATGTGTTCATATGATTTATAGGTCGATATCATCGACCATATTATAGAATAAGGATTGAATACTTTGTTTTTTTTTTTTAAAAAAAAAAAATCCACTCCAATAGATCTCCAGTAGACCTCACTTAAATGTGAGTAAAATCCTAGTGAGAATCGAACCATGATCTATTACCAAGAAAGATAGCAACCTAATCACTAGACTGTCATTCAATTTCCAATGATAGAATGCTTTGTATGTGGGAATTATTATATGAAATGTATCCACTTATGTTCTTGCGAGAAAAAAAAAAAGAAAAGAAAAAGAGGGAGATGATATTAAAATCGTCAAGGAGCTTTGGTTACTTTTCAAAAAAAAAAAAGAAAAGAAAAAAAACTATGCCATTTTTAGGTTTTGATTATTGATGTTTATCGGTAGAAGCTAAATCACCAGTCGTAGGATTAAATGAACCAAACTCTCGACAATATTGCCGATTCTCCCTATGTTTATCCATTAATTAGCATTGATGATAAAATGAACCAAACTCCTTCATGTATCTCATCAGAACCCCACATTGATGATTGATCAAATGATTCCTACAATCTTTGTCCCAAGTTGCTTGACCGATTGATCAATTCAAACGTGTTCCAAGACGGTATTGCGCAAGTAATGTTACATTTTTTTTTTTCAGAATATATGGTACAATACTACAATGAGACTATTCTGGTGGTGAACTTTACTTAATGTCATTTTAAGTCGAGAACATATCGATAATCATGTTCTAGATATGAAGTGAAGCCAAATAATAATATGAAAAAAATTATAATACCATTCAAACAATATCTATTACTAAAATTCATCAGTCTGTCCTAAGCGTTACTAGTGGTAAACGTTAGTGTTTTTTTTTTTAAAATTTTTTTTTTATGAACTTAACTTCTTTACAATATAAATGAAACCGTGTGTGGAGCGTGTTTGGACCGGTGATTGAGGTTGGAAGGATTTAATTATTTAATTAAGATTTGTTAATCACGGCTGCTTAAGACACTTTTTTCGTTTATGGTCGGCGGCCATCGGTAAAACTTTTACCTCGTCGTCCATTTCACATGCATCCCACCTTAGCTACGGAGTCCACGTACGACCATCATCCGTGACCTTTTTATATTCAACAACAAAAAAATAATTTTACGGATGATACTCCCTCTGTATTGAAATTATTGTCTAATTTGAATTTTTATTTTAATTCAAATTATAGTAAAAGTGAAATCTCAAATCGGACAATAGTTCTGGGACAGAGAGAGTACTATCTTTTTAAAAGAAAAAAATATTGGTATATGGTTTGTTGGTCAGTTGACCGTGTTAGATGATTTGCCTAAGAAAATTACCTCGATTCATAGAGTCAAAATAATAAAATGCATTTCAAAGTAGGTTGCAAATGCATCAACATTTGTGACTTTTCAGTACAAATTAAATACTCGTGAAATAAATGATTTAACCAAACATTCAAACTAATTTGATTCGAGCCTACATGTCTTTTTCAAAAGGTTAAACTACATGTATTTATTTATATGTTTATAGTATTAATATCAAAACTTGAAGAGGAAAAAACAGTCTTTCCATAATTTTCACAGCTTCTTCTTTGGTTCTTTCATCTGGGCATGCCATTGTGTGAGTTGTGTGTATAAAGGAAAACTGACCTGTGTTTTCCTTCCAAAAAATAGTTTTTTTTTCCTTGAATTAAAATAGTATTATATAAAACGACTATTTTCCTAAAAGTTAAATAATATTATTGTCCCAGAAAAATAATTTACTTTGTGCTACGGTCTTAGCTTAACAAAATAGATTATACTAGAACAAGATATGCAATATTGGTCACATGCATGCAAGAGTACTGTAAACCGGAGTATAATGTTAACTTAAACATCACGTAAGTCTGTTGTTCTAGCTTCTAACACACTGCCAAGATAAATTATTATTTTTAAAATACACAAAAAGGTTATCCTCCCAAATATAATTAAATTAAAAAAAAGAATTAAAGTGGAACTTTTGTAAAATGAGTGCATCTAAACTTCGAGTTAAGCACTCAAGCTTACGAAAGACACATGACACATACAACAACAACACAACTAGTACATTTAGTATAATTTCTAAGATCTGATCTATCAAATTAAGCCTCTTTTTGATTAGACACTTAATCATGTGATTCTCTGACAATTTTTATATATTATTTCAATCTAAAAATAAAGTGAAAGTTGTTAAAAGAAAAAAGGGGTTCACAGCTGTGAGATAATATGAAGCAAACATTTTTTTGGGTTTTTTTTTTTTTGAAAAATATACCCTGATGACCTTATTTAAATGTGGGAAAGAACCCCTGACAAAATTTTTGATGAAAATTGAACCTTAGATACAATAATCTAACTACTAATCTGTTATTCAATTTTCAAAGTAAAATTTTTTTTACTAATTATTTATTCTTTTAGTAAACGAATTTAATTATTACCATGAGACAAAGACTATAACTTATGGTGGTAAATAATTCCTCTAGTTTATATATTAACTGATAAAATTAGTTTGAATTTTTTTCCAAGGATTTAATTTATGCAATATTAACAATAATTTCAAAATTGAAAAAAAAAAGAATATTAAAAGGGTGCTAACTGCTTTGGAACCGACAACTTCAGTGGCCCTTTAGAAGCTCCATCTAAGCATAAAAGCTCGGCCACGTCACCAATCTAATGTTGTCTTTTTTGTATACGTGTAGAGTTTTGATTGGTTCCAGGACGTGTCTTTTGGAGACCGACATAGGAATTTCCATTCTAATTTACGAGTCACTACTATCTCTACCTTTGTTATTTTTAATAGATCTATGATGTTTTTACTAACATTACTGTTATTCTGTTTTGGAAGTGAATTAATCATATGATTAAATAATCATACACTTCGTTAAATGATTTGCTACCTTGTCAGCTTTACTATCGATGCATGTTGATGACCAAAACTTTATTATTTACTCGTCTCGAGATAAAAATCATGTCTGTTCAATTAACCGAGCATTAAAAAAAAATTGTACACACTTAATAGTGTAAAAAATGTAACACAACAGAAATTGGTGGCTATGTGTGTTTAATGACTTACTTATTGTTGACAAAACAAGATGAATTTTGAAAAATTATTTTCAATTTGGGAATCTTTTTTGAGAGCACAAAATCACCAAACTGGTTTTTAAGGCTTTGTTTGCTATCGGCAAAACCAATGGGCAGCTCAATTTGACAAGGCGGGAAAAAAAAAACACAGATCGCGAGAAAACTGTATTAGGGGTAAATCCCCTAAACTTAACCACAGTGAAAGTTAAAAAAAACTAATACATAGTACTCAGCTTCAGGAGCACGGTAAAAACTAGTCAACCGGGGTCAGGAAACAGACATCAAGTCCAATACAAATTCCATTCCTTGAGTAAGTCTTTTAGGATTTGAATCTCTCTCTGTCTATATTTTGTCCCACAATTCTAGAGAGAGAAAAGCGCCTCCCAGATTACGGGTTAGAGAGAGAGAGAGAGAAGAAAGAAAGAAAGAAACAGAGAGAAATCTTAGGGTGAAGCTGTCCGTAAAACCTCAACAATGGCGTTGGTTTCTTTCTTTGGAAGGCTTCTTTTCGTCTCCGTCTTCGTCCTTGCCGCTTACCAAGAGTAAAATTTCTTCCCTTTTTTTTTTTTCAGCTCTTATGTTTTTTCTTCCTATCAGATCTGCCCTGTTTTTTTTTTTTTTACTTTCCTCCTTCTCACGCCTAAAGTTTGAAAGTAGTGTTCTTGAACCTCTTTCGGTTCTGGGTTTTTTGTTTTTCTATGTTTAATCGTTCACCATCTTTGTCGAAGTTGGATTGGATCTGCTGTTGAGAAGGGTTTCTGGAAGAAAATTGCGACTTTTGAGTTGAATTCGGTTTATGATTTAGTTTTATAATGTTTATTCTTTACGTGGAAGTTAAAAGACTGTCACTTTCAAGTGGTCTTGTTTTAAATTTGATGTCTTTCTGTTGAAGGGTTTATTTTGTGTCCCAATAAAAAATCTGATAAGGTGAATTTCTGGGTTGCTCTGTTCTTCGTTTGTTTGTTAAGCTGAGTTCATAACGTTTGATGTCCTGAAAATTGCTTGGTGTGCTCAATTGAGAGCTTTCTGATACGGTACAATGTATATTCCTCCGAAAATTGTTGTCTTTTTGGTTAAAAGGGCTGTGTCAGCAGAATTTCTTGTATAATAGTTGCCGCATGTCTGGGTTGGATCTTAATTTCTGTGGTGAGGGATCTTTAAATTTTTGTGTTGAAGGATTAGAAGATCTTAGTATCAATTGCCTTGTGAAGGATTAGCAGTTGGACATGAATATGTCTGGATATTATTGTATGTTCGAAAATATTGATTTTTATATACTCAGTATCTTCTTTAATTTTCTAGATTTCCCCCTTTTTCTTTAGAAGAAAATTTTTTTCTCACTCCACTGATTATGTTGGCAAAACAATGTTTCTGTTAGTGGAGTATATTTGAAGTTTGGTTCACTTTGGTACTTTTCCTTTAGGTGTAAGAAATTTTTCTGTCTAACTGTTTAGATTCGGATGAACATGAGAAAGGAAAATGTCACCTTTCTTCTCTGCATATCATAGAACTGCAGTTAGTTGTGGGTTAGAAAATTTGAGCCTCAAGCCTTCAAAGTGTCAATTTGGATAGTAGCTTAAATGTTTTTGTTTGAAAGAGCTTTGTTTGTTTTGAATTGTGGATCCTGCTTTTCAAATTTTGCCAAGCTGTCAGTTTATGTATTAATAAAAGGGAAAAAGCTGCAGTAGTTTATCTTTAATCAAGTCTTGATTTGTGGTGGCTATTCTTTTTTAATGTGGTTCATAGGTATTGTAAATTTTAACTTTACTTTCATATGACAGCTGTAAATTAGCCAATCTTTCACTGGTATATGTAAATGTTGATGCCCATCAGGTGGAAGATATTTAATATGACATCCATTCTGCCTTTTCATCACTCTCTTGGAATTTGTGCATTTTAAAGTTGTTTAGCCTGGATTTTCTTCCTTGATGGGAAATTGTTTTACTTGATGCTTTTTGAGGAAACTTGGAACCTAATGCTTTGGATATTCTTGATTTCTGCTTGGGGACCATTTGTAATTCTCTGCTTTCTCGGCCTTGTGTGTTGAATGCTTCAGGCTGGTTAGTGTTGCTTAAGTTCTGATACTGTTAGTTGCTGATGCCTTTGTATCAAGTTGATCTAATCTATTATATTGCTTCCATTGATATGCTGTTGGTTTATATTTCTCTGCACCTTGTCTGATTCGAGTCGCCTTTTTAATTTTCTGTTTAAAAGTAGGTCATAAACTGGTCACTGATGGCTTTTCTTTGCAATTTAGGTTTAATGGATTTGGGGATGATGGTGGGCTTGCTGCAAAGACTTTGAAGCCAAAGTTTAACACTTTCTCAAAGCATTTTACCACCCAAACTGGTCTTCAATTTCCTCATGTGGAGGTAAAAGAGTAATCATAGTTTGTTCCTAGTAGTTTATATAAAATGTTCACATATTGCTTGATCTTTTCTAATACAAGGATTTGTCTCTGACAGATAAAGTACTTAGTTTTGGGTGCTATAGTCCTGAAGAGTCTCGGAAGCCTTCTTTTTGTCCTCGGCAGCTCTCTTGGAGCTTATCTTCTGGTGTGTAATTGTATTTCCCTTCCATGTTTTGCTCAAGTTTTGATGTCTCTTAGTTTTTTCTTATAAATTCTTTTCATCTTCTTCGTGCAGCTCTTGCATCAGGCAGTTGCCACTCCGGTGTTGTATGATTTCTACAACTATGATGCTGACAGCAAAGTGTCTGGTCGACTGTTTCACAAATTTGCTGAGGTTAGTCATTCCCCTGTTCACTTATGAATAGTCATTATAATACTTCAAAGTAGCTGGAAGCATAATATTGATCGTGATTACACAATTATCTTTGGTTCAGAACTTGGCTTTGCTCGGCGCCTTGCTCTTCTTCATTGGCATGAAAAACTCAATGCCCAGAAGAGCATTGAAGAAGAAGGCCCCCAAAGCAAAAACAACTTGAAGAAGGGGTTTCCAAGATTGAATTGCGGCTGGGGAATGACAATCCTGTTGCAAAGCTTGCTCGAGCTTCTGTAGTGATCGATACTTTTGGAGGATCGGAATTTTGTAGCTTCACTTCATTGACATTCGGTTCATTTTGATTTTCCCCTCTTGAGGTTATCTTGTCTCGCTTTTAGGTTATTTTTTTGACTGGCTTGTTATGATTAACTGAATCCCCAAAAATTATTAGTTCAAATGAAGCCTATTAGTGCTATTGATTTCTTTTGTGCTGCTAACACTTTTTTAGTACCTGTTGATGTTGACTTGCATACAACACACAACAATATAGCACAAAATTAAATTGAAAAACCTTCTGGATACTTGAAACTTAATATGGAATTTGAAGCGTCTGAACATAAAAACTTTTAAAGCAAGAAAAATATGCTTTGATATCCTACGTCTTCAAGCAAATGCAACATATTCTAGTTCTTCGAAAAATAACAACAAAGACTGGATATCGTTTTCTGGAAAGCATCATCACAAGCATGAACCCAAATGATTCCAAACTACGAAAACATATATATTAATACAAGTTGGAATAAATTTATCTTGTTTTTTTTTTATAAGAAGTCAAAACAGCTAAATCCGTAAACAGCAAATGCTCTCCCACTACTCTACAGATCAAGGAAAAAAAAAAAAAACAGAGGAAGGGATAAAGAAAAAAAGCCTGTGAACGCCATTAGTATTCCGGCAATGATTACGGCAGCCAACAACATCAAAGTTGATGATGCAGAGTCAACTCAACACTATGATCGAAGAAGGGAACTGAAAGAGTTTGATGATTCAAAATGTGGAGTAAAAGGGCTTGTAGATGCTCAGGCAGAGAAAATACCTCGTATATTTGTTCATCCACAAGTAAACTTGACTCCTTCAAACTGTAACAATGAAAGAACTCAACTCAATGTTCCCATCATTAGCTTTGGAGGAATCAGTGAAAGTCCCGAAAAAAGCCGCGCCGAGTTCATCTGCAAGCTAAGAGATGCATGTCAGAATTGGGGGTTCTTTCAGGTTCTTAATCATGGGATTCCAGTGCCTTTAATGGATGAAATGATTGAAGGTGTTAGAAGGTTTCATGAACAGGATGTCGAGATAAAGAAGCAATACTATTCGCGAGATGTGTCGAAAAGATTTTATTTCAATTCCAACTTTGATCTGTATCAAAGTCCAACGCCTACTTGGAGGGATACTATGTACTGTATTGTGGCTCCTGATCCACCTAAGCCTGAAGACTTGCCAGCAGTTTGCAGGTAATTCTCCGACTTACTTTTTGGCCTCGATATTTGTCTGTCGACTATTCAGAACAAAAAAATGTTCTTACAATTTGCAGAGATATACTGCTGGAATATTCAGATTGTGTAACAAAGTTCGTTGTCATATTGCTCGAATTGCTGTCTGAAGCATTAGGCCTTAACCCTAGTTACCTAAAAGATATAGGCTGTGATGAAGGCTTATTTCTCTTGGGACATTACTACCCGGCATGCCCTGAGCCGGAATTAACTCTCGGCACTAACAGTCACACAGACAGTGGCTTCCTCACTGTACTTATACAAGACCAGATAGAAGGTCTTCAGGTCCTGCATCAGAATCAATGGGTTGATGTTCCTCCCGTGCGAGGTGCTTTGATAGTAAACATCGCGGATCTTTTGCAGGCGAGTTTCTTAAACAAACTATGATCACTAAAAGATTTTGTATAGATCTTTGTTACTATTTGAATTTACAGCTAGCTAGAGTAATGATAGAGACTGTGAAACTATTTATTGTTTATTGGGTACACTTAATAATTTTCATTTCATTCTTTCAGCCAAAATTTCATGTTTTTGACTTGTATTGAATGTTATCTCAGTTAATCAGTAATGACAAGTTCAAGAGTGTATATCATAGAGTGCTAGCAAAAAGAGAAGGACCAAGGATTTCGGTGCCATGTTTTGTCAGAACAAATTTTGGAGAAGGGAGTAAAGTGTTTGGACCGATAAAGGAGTTGTTGTCTGAAGAAAATCCACCAGTTTACAGGGAGACCACTGTTAGTGACTATATCTCATACTACTTTAGCAAAGGTGTTGGTGGAGGATCGCCATTGTCGCATTTTAAGATACAGAGATCCTAAAGCAATCGAATATACTCATTCGGGCCCTAATTTGGTACTTCTTCTGTCCAAAATTTATTGTCTAATTTAAGATTTCACTTTTAATACAATTTAAAAGTGAAATATGATTTGATAACCCTACTCACACGAAATATGATTTAATACAATTTAAACTAAAAATAAAAATTCAAACTAGACAATAATTTCGCGATGGAGAGTGTTTTTTTTTTTTTTTAAATTTTTTTTCCCTTTAGATGTAAGAAATTTCACCGTCCAACTGTGTAGGTTCGGATGAACATGAAAAAGGAATTGTCACCCATTCCTCCTCTGCGGGTTCATGGATATGGTAGTTTGTTGTGGGCATTGCCATCTGTGGTATTCTTGGAGAAGAAGAAGAAGTTAAGGTTTGAGCAAACTGGAGAAAATTTTGTATATTCACGAAATCTATCAATCATCCATTCACTCTGTACATTGTTCATATATATACCGTATTGACTAAGTCAAATACCCTAACTATCTAGTATTTGCAAGATAGTCCCTGTATTAATAAAAACTATAATATCAACTATACAATTGCTATACAAAAAAGAATCATGTATCCCAGAAATCTAAGACTTCATTGGCCTGATTAGCTTCAACGCCGGATACATTCTGATTACTCAACACCCCCTCCTCAAGATGAGCTTGGGATAAGCCCATCTTGCCAAGAAGCACATCAAATGTAGGAAAGGGAAGGGACTTGGTCAACAAGTTTGCAAGCTGTTGAGATGAACTGATGTGATTAAGAGTGATGAATCCCTGTTTATAAAGGTCCAGACGATATGACAGTCGATGTCAATATGCTTGGTGCGCTCGTGGAAAACAGGATTGGTTGAAATGTGAATGGCAGCCCTGTTGTCACACCAAAAGGCAATAGACAGAGAAGGTGTAAAATGAAGATCATGAAGAACAAAAGTAATCCAATTGAAGTTCTCGGGCTGTAACCGCCATAGCCCTGTATTCTGCTTCAGCCGAGGAACTAGATACAATGGTCTGTTTCTTGGTTTTCTAGGAAACCAAGCAATAACCGAGAAAGATGTAGAAACCAGTTAAAGAGCGTCGAGTAAACTGGCAGCTACCCCAGTCAGCATCACTATAAACATGAGGTTGAAGTGAAGTACCACTGGGATAGAACAAACCCTTAGAAGAACAACCAGCAAGATACTTGAGAACAAGAACAGCAGCTTGCCAGTGAGACTGTAATGGAGCATGTACAAATTGACTGAGCTGCTGGACGGCGAAGGCAAGGTCAGGGCGAGTGAAATTAAGGTACAACAACCGGCCTATCAACCGTCTATATTTGGCAGGATCAGGAAAAGCAGGACTGGGATCTTTAGCCAAAAAACGAAAATTTGCAGGGAAGGGGGTAGAAACTGGATGACAGTCAAGCAATTCAGTATCACGAAGGATGTCAGTGATATACTTATGCTGACAAATATAAATTCCAGTAGCAGACCTGGCGATTTCCATGCCTAAAAAGTATTTAGCCATGCCAAGATCCTTAATGGTGAACATCTCATCTAAAAAGGATTTAACCTTAGCAAGCTGGTCTTCATCAGAACCAGTGAGCAAAACATCATCGACGTAAACAAGAAGAAAAATCTGATAAGCAGGAGTGATCAAAGTAAAAAGACAATGATCATTGACAGATTGTACAAAGCCAAAATCAAGTAATTTGGAGATAAACTCAGCATTCCACTTTCGGGAGGCCTGTTTAAGTCCGTAAAGAGATTTATTCAACTTGCATACTTGGCCAGGAAGAGCTTTATGATAACCGGGGGGAGGTAACATGTACACTTCTTCATCAAGAGACCCGTGAAGAAAAGCGTTATTTACATCAAGCTGACGTAAAGGCCAAGAGTAACTAGCAGCAATGGCAAACATGATTCGGACAGTTACAGATTTAGCTACAGGGGAAAACATTTCAGAGTAGTCCCCGCCTGCTACCTGAGTGTATCCCTTAGCGATGAGTCTAGCCTTAAAACGATCAATACTTCCATCTGGTTTACATTTAACCCGATATACCCATTTAGAACCAATTGGTTTCTTTCCTGAGGGTAAGGAAGTAAGTTCCCAGGTCTGATTACGTTCTAAGGCTTCTAATTCCTGATTCATGGCATCTATCCACTTGACATTAGTTCTAGCTTAATAATAAGTGTAAGGTTCTTGAAAGGTTGACAAATTAGCAACAAAAGACGCATGTGTTTTAGAGAAAAGACAACAATCATTAGTGATGTAACTGCAAGAATCATCAACAATACAGGAAGTGACAAGAACAAAATCATCAAAACGGGTAGGTAATTTGGTAGGTCTAGTACTGCGTCGAAGAGCAGGGACTGGAGGAGGTAAATCTGATGGAGAAGAAGTAATAGAAGGATTGGAACTGATAGGAGGAGATGAAGAAACTGAGGGAGAGAGATTGAAAGCATCATTAGGCAAGCAGTCATTCACAAGAATTGGCAACACCAATTCAGGTTGCAAAGATTGAGAAAGTGGAAAGATGTGCTCATGAAATATGACATCACGAGACACAATAGTTTTATGCAAAGAGGACAAAAGATCTTGTAGCCTTTTTGACCAGGAGGATACCCGATAAAGATCCCTTTGTGACTTCTAGGATCAAATTTATCTCGATTGGGTGTATTATCGACAGCAAATGCAAGGCAACCAAAAGTGCGGAGAGGAGTGAGGTCTGGTTTCCTGTGATATAAAAGCTCAAAAGGGGATTGCCAGTTCAAGATGGCAGAGGGTAAACGATTAATAAGATGGGTGGCTGTAAGAATAGCATCTCCCCAGGAAGCTTTAGGTAAATGAGATTGAATTAATAGAGATCTAGCAACCTGGAGTAGATGTTGATGTTTTCGTTCAACAACTCCATTTTGCTATGGAGTATATGGACAAGTTTTATGATGTAAAATACCATGCTTAGAAAGAACCGACTGGCAACACTCACTAAGAAATTCAGTTCCATTGTCACTTCTAACGGTTTTAACAGTGCTACGGAATTGAGTTTGCAACATAAGGAAAAAATTTTCAAGAAGAATAGGAACCTGGGTTTTATATTTCATTAAGAAGGTCCAGGTACACCTGCTGTAATCATCCACAACAGTAAGAAAAAAACGAAACCCATTCCCAGTGGCATGCTTATAAGGTCCCCAAACATCGAAGTGAATAAGCTGGAAAATACTAGTACTTTGAATAGAATTATTGGGAAAAGAACTTCGATGTTATTTTGCAAGTGGACAAACTTCACATATATCATGAGATTTATGGTTTACAGAAGTATGAATATCATCTGAAATATGTCTAAGTGTAATGGGGGAAGGATGTCCAAGTCTATTATGCCAAACGGCTACATCAACGGCTGCATAGGCCTTATTTGCATTAAACTGTTTAGCTCTTAGTGCATAAGAGGCATAGAACTGTTGACTCCTTTGAATGGCTTGAGAAGTAAAAGAATTGGTATTGATGATGTATAGGCCTCGAACCACTTTACCAGCTGCAATGACCTGACCAGATTTAAGGTCCTGCAGCAAGCAAAAGGTGTCGAAGAACTGGAAAATTAGGAAAGACTGTGCAAGTTTCTTGACGGATAACAGGTTGTGTTTGAAATAAGGGACGTATAAACAACCAAAAAGGGTCAATGTGGGTGATATTACGACATCGCCTATTTTATGTACTTCCTTAATACTACCATTAGGCAGAAATACAGATGTGTATGCAGTTACATTTCTAAGATTTATCATATTTTCTAAACTATAACACATATGACATGTTGCACCAGTGTCATTAATCCAATCATTCACACTTAAACATTCAGCATAATCCGAACTAAGCAAGCAAAGAATAGAGGTACCTGCAAACTCCCCAAACTGCGGAACATTTGCATAATGTGCTGATCCTCCGGGGTTAAAAGCAGTATCCTCCATTTGCCCCTTTCCTTTCAGCATTCTGCTAACCTCCTGTTGCACAGCATTGGCAATGAGATCCTGCAGCTTACTCTTATCATCAGGATTGTCCTCAAACGGTGTGTCAGCAAGATATGCCTGTTTCTTCACAACTTGATTCGAAGGCAAGTTCCACCATTCTGGAAACCCAATTATTTCAAAACAGTTCTCTTTCAGGTGCCCTGTTCTTCGGCAGTGAGTGCACAGAAGATGACTTTTGTCTACTTTCTGAAAACCAGGTTTGCTACCAGTTTTGATTAGTGGAGGTTTAGATCCCTGTGGTCGAGCTCCTTCCTTCCTGGAACTTTGTAGTGGCTGAGTCTTTACAACCATAGCTGAATTTTCACCAGATATGGAATTTGACATCCCAACACTAAGTTGCTTATGTTTCTATGCCTTAAGCAACTTTGAATACACTGTTCTCAGATTTGGCGGAGGATCTAACATCAGAATGCCACTTCTTTCTGGTTCATAGACCTCATTCAAACCCATGAGAAATTGCATCACCTCATCTTCCATTTCACGTTCTTGAATCTGTTCCTTAAGCAAACCTGTTGCAGCTAAAGTTGGCCTAAGCTGTGCATATTGATCCCAGAGGTGCCTTAGCTTACTATAATACTGTGGAATGCTCAAATCACCTTGTCTCATCATAGAAATATCACGCTTCAATTCAAAAACCATCGGAGAATTACAAGATCCATATGTCTGAGCTAATTCATCCCATAGTTCCTTAGCATCATTCACAAACTGAAAATCAACAACAATCTCTAGTGCTAAAGCATTTTTAATCCACGATAATACCATACTATGAACTCTTCTCCATTTCTTAAAGATAAGAGAATGAATATCAGGCATCTCACAAGTTCCGTCTACAAAACCAAACTTATTCTTTAACTCTAAAGCAGTAATCATGGCGTTGCGCCAAATTAAGTAATTCTTACCATTCAGAGGACAATTCACTATGACCGAACCAAGAGTTCCGAACCATGGAGCTGCAACTCGTCATCTGGATCGAAGAATTGCATTCGCTCCCTCAGAACTCTCTGGTAGTCTTCATCATCGTATTCGTGATTTCTCGGCATGATTCAAGAAACCGAACCGTACAGTTACTCAGCAAGGTGTGCGCAGCAAAACCTGCTAATTTTAAGGATGCAGAAGCGACTGGCAGAGCAGGATCTAGTCCTGCTCTGATACCATCTTGGAGAAGAAGAAGAAGAAGTTAGGGTTTGAGCAAATTGGGGAAAATTTTGTATATTCACGAAATCTGTCAATCATCCATTCACTCTGTACATTGTTCATATATGTACCGTATTGACTAAGTCCAATACCCTAACTATCTAGTATTTGCAAGATAATCCCTATATTAACAAAAACTATAATATCAACTATACAATTGCTATACAAAAAAGAATCATGTATCCCGGAAATCTAAGACTTCATTGGCCTGATTAGCTTCAATGCCGGATACATTCTGATTACTATACATAGAATTTGTTATCATACAATGTTTTTAGGATCCGTGGAATTTAATATTGAAATTGGGTGTTCATTTTGTACTATCCTTTTATTATCGTCTCGTTATAACTTTTAAGCATGAAATATGATTTGATAACCCTACTCACACGAAAAGGAAGTTCTGTGCTCATAATGACTCTAATCAAAGTGGGAAATTGTTCAAAATAATTCAATTTCAATTCTGTCCTAAAGTCAGCCTCAAATACGAATCATAAAGTATTGCTACCTTGAATAAACCGTCACCAGATTAATACAGAACCAATCTTAATTTCCTCAAACTTTTTCTTAAACTAAAGATAAAAAATGGTTAAAGTCAAACATTTTGGTGGAATGATTACCAGACTTGAATTATCTCTTCCAAAAAGTTTGCATTTACCTTGTCAAAATAACTAAATAAGCAAGAGTAAGATACAAAAAAAATCTAAAGATTAGATCTTCCGCTATCAAGGGAGCAAAGTTGAGTACTTTTATGAGTTGTCTGAGTTAATTGTCTCACATCTTATTTTCGAAAGCAAAACAACATGGTGGTCAAAGGTGATGCTTCAACTGGTGGTGCTGAGCAGAAGAACTATGACAGAGCAAGTGAAATCACGGCTTTTGATGAAACCAAATCTGGTGTTAAAGGGCTTGTTGATGCAGGAATCCTTAAAGTACCTAGGATGTTCCATTCCCCGCCTGATGATAACTTTGTTAAATCATCAGATGAATACAGTATTCCAGTGGTTGACCTTGAGGGGATTGATGGCGATCCAACCCGGCGAAAGGAGGCGGTTGAAATCATCCGAGGGGCATCCGGGAAATCGGGTTTCTTCCAGATAGTCAACCACAGCATCCCAGCTGAAGTTTTGGATGAAATGTTGGATGGAACGAGGAAATTCTATGATCAAGATGATGAAGTCAAGAAACAGTACTACACAAGGGATGGTTCAAAGACTGTTGTGTATAATAGTAACTTTGATCTGTTTAGTGCACCTTTTGCTAATTGGAGGGACACCAGCTACGTGAATATGGCCCCAAAACCTCCCAATCCAGATGAATTACCTGAGGTTTGCAGGTAAATCATCCTTTTCTGCTCATACAATTTAAGCATTCGTAACCTTATTTAGTCCCCAACTGAGTTGGAAATATACTAGATATGTTATTGTTGTAATCTAATCTAAACCCGTCCCACATTGATAGTTCTGTTTCTAAAACTTGTTGTAGAAACAGAACTACAGTGTGTGAAAGAGAATGTTTTAGTCCCTTTGATTTGATTATAGGATTGACCATGATTCAGTTGATTTTCTGACATTGTTTACGTGTTACAAAATATCTGCAGGGACATTTTGATCAAGTATACAGAACATGTAATAAAGTTAGGTCGTTTTTTATTTGAACTGCTTTCTGAGGCACTTGGACTCAATCCAAACCACTTGAATGATATGGGATGTTCAGAGGGTCTTGCTGTACTTTACCATTGTTATCCCGCCTGCCCGGAACCGGAACGTACCTTGGGAGCTACCGGACATTCTGACTATGATTTCCTCACAGTATTACTGCAAGATCATATAGGAGGACTCCAAGTTCTTTATGACAACCATTGGGTTGATGTCTCTCCTGTTCCTGGAGCTCTGGTAGTCAACATTGGAGATCTTTTACAGGCAGGCTTTTGGTTACTAATTTGTTCTGTTTAAAAATTTGCAATCTTCTTGCTAAGAAGTTCACATAATATATCCGTCCTAAAATAATAGTCGTATTTCTAATACCGTATAGTAGTAAATCGATGTATGCGAAGTTGCTATAACTAATGGATCGGATTTATTTTTCTGAATTTTCAGCTGATATCAAATGACAAGTTCAAGAGCAGTCAACATAGAGTATTGGCAAACAATGCAGGTCCAAGATTTTCAGTTGCATGCTTCTTCACAACAGGATTGGCACCATATTCAAAGAAATATGGACCAATTAAGGAGCTGTTATCGGAAGACAATCCTCCGATATACCGGGAAACGACGGTGAGAGACTATTCACTTTACTACAATTCAAAAGGACTTGGAAGATCGTCTGCCTTGGTTGATTTCAGGCTTTAAACTTGTTAGAAATGACAACAGATTCTGAGCTGATTATTACTTGGTGTTATTATAATAAGATAGTAGTTTCACCATCTTAGCAACTTTGTCGACTGAACGTCATTCAATACTCTTCTCGTACTAAAAAAATAGTCTATTTTATTATACTGTTTTAGTTGAACGAAATATATTATTTTTCTAGAACAGAAGAAATAATTGATCTATTAGTACTAATTACTACATGTATTAGTTTTCTACATAACCTAGATTTTTTTAAGATTACAAAAGAATTTGATTTCCTGTTTTGATTGTATAGAGATGATTCAACTTTTACAAATGTTATAAGGTGTTTGATCTTAAAAAAAGTAAATTCGAATTTCACCTAATACAAAAAAAAAAACGTAAAATCCTGTATTCCTATTGTGTAAACGTTTGGACCATCCATTGATGCATGGCCAAATTAGAGCCACAAGTCCCAAACCCGTTGTATGGTTAGACTTGATGATTTCACCAAACATGTGACGTAATTCCTTTCTGAATTGCTTCAACTAGAAAATAGTTCCAGAAATTTTTGGACATACATTTCTGATTAAACAATGGAGAATGGGCTAACCGATCATGGTTTTGGAAAGGAAGAAAATTATGATCGAAAAGCAGAACTCCAAGCTTTTGATGACACTAAAGCAGGGGTCAAAGGACTAGCAGATTCTGGAATAACAAAAATTCCCAGGATATTCATTCATCAAGCAGGTAACTTTCTGAAGCAATCCAAATCCAAGGAATCATTGCAATATGAGTTTCCAGTGATTGATCTTGATGGGATCAGAAAAGGGCCAATCACGCGTAAGGAGGTAGTGGAAAAAGCCCGGGAAGCATCCGAAAAGTGGGGATTTTTCCATGTGGTTAATCATGGAATTCCTGTTGGTGTTTTGGAAGAAATGATAGCTGGAGTTCATAGATTCTTTGATCAAGATTTTGAGGTTAGGCAAGAATGGTACACAAGAGATGCAACTAAAAGGGTTGTTCACAACTCCAATTTTGATCTGTTTAGTTCACCAGCTGCTAATTGGAGAGATACAGTTTTTTGTATTATGGCTCCAAATCCTCCAAATCCAGAGGAATTGCCCCCAGTTTGCAGGTATGTTTTTAGCCAATCTTCCTGATTTTAGAAAATAAACATCTCTTTGCTTGAACCAAAGTTGATTGAATCAGCAGATAGGAAATGATTTTTTGATTTTACATTCTCTATTCATATATGAGAGTGAAATTCTGCTTGTTTAGGAATATTTCTTCCACTTCTGTTCATGTAAATGTATACCTGAATATGATTAACCTAATGCCCCCGCCTAATCGCCGGTTGGCGATCTTCACAAATGACTACATATGAATCAATGCTGACACAGTAGATGAAATAATGGTGATTTTATGCATAATCTTTACCTTACTAATGAATTATGGTTGCCTGATTTGTTTACATACTAACTCTGTCTCTTTGAGTTGCAGAGATATTCTGATAAAATGCTCACAAGAGGTAGCAAAACTGGGATCAACTTTGTTTGAAATTCTATCAGAAGCTCTAGGGCTGAATCCGAACTACCTTAATAACATTGGTTGCAATGAGGGGCTGGCTGTTATATGCAATTATTATCCTCCATGCCCTCAGCCAGACCTGACATTAGGCACCACAAACCATACCGACGGCGACTTTCTTACCGTGCTTGTACAAGATCACATTGGAGGACTTGAAGTTTTGCATGAGAATCAATGGGTTGCAGTTCCACCACTTCCTGGAGCTTTAGTAATAAACATAGGAGATCTTCTCCAGGTAGGAATATTTTAGTAAGATTTAAGACATTATTTTTGGTCACTAATCTGACTTCTGATCAATTTTACTGTTTTCCTGTGGTTTCTTTTTTTTTTTTCTCAGCTTATATCAAATGATAAGTTTATCAGTGTAGAGCATAGAGTATTGGCTAATGATGTTAGTACAAGAGTATCAGTGGCAAGCTTCTTCAGAAACTTTGACGTATCGCCATCTGCAAAGGTATATGGTCCGATTCCAGATCTTCTGAGTGATGAAAATCCGGCGAAATATAGGGCAATAACTGTGAAAGAATATGTAACCTTCTTCAACAACAAAGGGCTTGATGGAACTTCAGCTTTGACACACTTCAGGCTTCAATGAACAGAAATTTCTCTACCTTACTATATTTAGAACAGTGGTAGATCACTAGATCTCTGAAGAGTTATATTTCTAACTCAACCTCATGTTCACATGGTCATATTCTTTCTGAGAGTACTACCTAGTACCTAGTAGTGAATTTGACATTTCTCTGAGAACATGCAAATATGCAATTGCGACTCATTCGACTCCTAAGTATAATCACATAATATATTAGTGACTCGATTTTACTGTTTTCCTGTGCTTACAAGAGAAGATGAAGTTGATTATGATCATTGAAGCATTTGATGAAACCATGTCGGGTTTCAACTTTCAAGGGACTTGTTGCTGCTGGAGTTACCAATATACCTCGGATCTTCATTCATCCACAATGTAGCTTGGAAAGGAAACCCAAATTTGGTTTGAGATAGAACTGATTGAATCAGCAGATTAGAGTGCCGTTCTGCTTGTTTAGGAATATCTATTGAACTTCTCCGTTCATGTAAAGCCAAATCTAATGCCCTAGACTGATCCCAAAATTATTGACCAATTTGAATTTTCATTTTTAGTTCAAAAAATTTATACTGAAACTGAAATTTCAAACTAGACAACAATTTTAGGACGGAGGGAGTATGTTGTGACCGATTACTTGTTGTCATTTCGCTGTTTTCTTCCATCTTTTAGCTCTCTCAAGGTTTTTGACGGTCTTTTGGATGATGATGTACAATGACTGGAAGAAGCCTCTTCTTAAATTTAACATAATGTCTTTAATTTCTTGTTATTCTTAGGTTTTGACCTTGTTATTATTGTACTAAACAAACATCATGCATTTGGTTTTGTCTCAAAAACAAATTACATTGTGTTCTGAAATTACATTGAGTTTGAAATTTATAATACAAATCTCAAAAATTTAATCTCTGACTAGTAGTGTAGATTCAAAATAAAGCTTTGAAAACAACCAGACCTTCAAAGAAGCTCATATTCAAGGCCGACCAGAGTGAACAATCTTAACCATATAAGTTGTGTTTGAGTTTTATGGACTCATTGTCTCATTCACCTTTAATCACATAATTTGAATATTCGAAACTTGCAATGTGTATTGGGTAACCTTAAAATATCTTTTAGTCAATTGTCCTCACAATCCAACCAAGGCAATCGACGATGAAAATTACTGTACAAAATATGAGGAAAAAGAAATAAAAAAAAAGAAAAGAAAATTAAAGCCATTTTGTTTGACATTCAAAACTCTTATGATAACTTTGATGATTGCTTAGACATTATAGTTCTTGTCTAGTCATTATAGGGGTGGATCCTGCCGAATTGCAGCAAGAAGGCAAATGCACATTGCTAAATCTAGATGGGAATTGGTCAAGAAGACAATTCTGCTTTCTTGTCCTTTCCTTTAGTCCTATCGTTTTTCTACTATGCCTTATTCATCATAAATGGCAAATCCCAAAGCCATTAAATCAAGCTTCAACACTTATTTAGCAGTCTCTCATTAGGCCTGATTTGATCACTGAAGTATAATATCTTTTTGTCACTTAAAAGGCAAAGGCTAATGGTGTTTGCAAGAGAAGATGAAGTTGATTATGATCGAAAAAGCGAAGTACAAGCATTTGATGAAACCAAGTCTGGTGTTAAGGGACTTGTTGATGCTGGAGTTACCAAGATACCTCGGATCTTCATTCATCCACAATGCAGCTTGGAAAGGAACCCGAATTCGAGCAAAAGACAGTTTAGTTTTCCTGTGATTGACCTACAAGATATTCATACAAATCCCGGAAGGCGAAAAGAGATAGTTGATAAGGTTAGAGATGCATCAGAGACACTGGGTTTCTTCAATGTTATAAATCATGGTATTCCAGAAAACAAATCCCTGGAAATGATTGAAGGCGTGCGTCGATTTTTCGAGCAAGCTACTGCGGCTAAGAAACAGTGGTACACAAGAGATATTACAAAAACAGTTGTGCATAATAGCAACTTTGATTTGCTTACCTCACCAGCAGCTAATTGGAGGGATTCATTTTATGCCATCATGGCTCCTGATGTTCCATCTCCAGATGAACTGCCTCAGGCCTGCAGGTAACATTTTCTTTCACATTTTTCCATCCTTTTTTTTTTTTTTTGAGAGATGATCTGAATATCAAATTGTTTTTGCAGTGAAATCTTGATAGAGTATTCCAAGGAGGTGATGAAACTGGGCAGTCTGTTGTTTGAACTGTTGTCGGAAGGTCTCGGGCTTAATCCAAGCTACCTCAATGACATTGGTTGTGGAGTGGGGATTTCTGCAGTTTGCCATTACTATCCAGGATGTCCACAACCAGAACTCACCTTTGGAACCAGCAAGCATTCTGATAACAATTTCATCACAGTACTTCTCCAAGACAATTTAGGTGGTCTTCAAGTACTCTATGAGAATCAATGGATTGATGTTCCTCCTACACCTGGATCATTAGTCATCAACATCGGCGATTTTCTGCAGGTATACTTGATCCTTCTTGACCTTTAACAGACAATTCTTTCAGAATCGAGACTAATTGCTGTTATGGTTTGGCTAATGGATTTTTTCAGCTTATGTCAAATGACAAGTACAAAAGTATTGAACATAGGGTTCTGGCAAATCATGTCGGCCCAAGAATTTCAGTTGCAAGTTTCTTTGCTGCTGGTTCTGCTCCAACAACAAAGCTTTATGGACCAATCAGGGAGTTGTTATCAGAAGAAAGTCCCGCCAAGTATCGAGCATTTACTGTAATGGAGTACATAAATTACTTCAATTCAAAAGGGCTAGATGGCACTTTTACTCTAGATCACTTCAAGCTCTAAGCTTGACAATTATAAATGTCTGCATTAGCACTCTTTCATTGTGACAAGATTATTCATTTGGTTGTTTCTTGTATATTGAGTTGCAAAATGTGTTCCATGCTGTCAAAGAGATGATGATCACAGACATCGGACGGGCGTTTGCTTATGCCGACTCTGCAAAATGAATTCGAAAATAAGTGTTTGGAGTTTCTTCCAGGATATGTTTCCTCATTTTGTTTGGCACTGATTTAATTTTCCTTCACTTTCCTCTGGATTCTGAAACTTTCTTTTGACTGATTACAATTGCTTCACGAAACTGTTACAAACTTGGCCTCTTGCTAATAATGCTTCATGAATGTGACCTTGTTTTGGTAATCATTTGAAACACATTATTATTTCAACCTCTGATTAGAGTATGTGATTATCTTTTGAGCAATGCCCCACACTTAGATCTTTTAGATGAACTTGTGGTTCCTGGCTAGCTTATGTAACATATCTGTTTCAGAATCACAAAGAAAAAAAATAAAAAATAAAAAATACCAAGATAGTAAAAAAAGCTGCCTTTATAGTCTTGTGTTGTAGTTAAAAGGAAGACATCCTAAAAAAAACACTTGATAAAAATAGAGTAGCCATCAGAAATATGGTAGCAACCAGCAAAAAAGAAACTGAGGAATCTGTGGAACCTCAGTATGATCGCAAGAGCGAATTACGAGCATTTGATGATACTAAAGCTGGTGTCAAAGGGCTTGTTGATTCAGGCATCACCAAAGTGCCCAGGATATTCATTACCAAAAGGGTATCCTGGAGAACAGGAGCTCGAATTTCGGGTACAAAGGTTCAGCAGAACTCACATTCCCTATAATTGACCTGGATGGTACTCACACAAATCCAACAAAGCGCAGAGAGATTGTGGATAAGGTAAGAGATGCATCGGAGACATGGGGCTTTTTCCAAGTAGTAAATCACGGCATCCCGAACAGTGTTTTGGAGGAAATGATTCAGGGAACTCGCAGATTTTTCGAGGAAGACGATGAAGTGAAGATGCAATTGTATACAAGAGATTTGACCAAAAAAGTGATCTATAACTCTAACTTCGATTTGTACAGTTCTCCAGCTGCGAACTGGAGGGATTCAATGCTTTGTGTAATGGCTCCTAATACTCCATCTCCTGATGAATTGCCTCAGGCTTGCAGGTACTTTTAGTATTGAGAATTTCCAAACTATTTCAGTTTTAGCCACATGACTATTGTTCTGAAACTGAGAACAATAAATGTATAGTCTTACCTAATTAGCAATTCTTTCTGAATTTTTGGCAGAGAAATTTTGATGGAATACTCCAAAGAAGTGATGAATTTGGGATGCTTGTTGTTTGAGTTGCTGTCAGAGGGTCTCGGGCTTCATCCAAGTTACCTCAAAGACATTGATTGTACAGAGGGACTTTCTGTTATTTTCAATTACTATCCAGAATGTCCACAGCCAGAACTTACCATCGGCACGACGAATCATTCAGACAATGATTTCATCACAGTTCTTCTCCAAGATCAGTTAGGTGGTCTCCAAGTAATGCATCAGAATCAATGGATTGATGTTCCTCCCACACCTGGAGCTTTAGTTATCAACATTGGAGACCTTCTTCAGGTACTAAAATCCGTCATCCAATTCCTTTTATTTCGTGTTTCATACAGAAACAATTTCTACTTTTCCATGGTGTCTTAAGTGGCAGTTTTGGTCTGGCTTCATGATTTTCAGCTTATATCCAATGACAAGTACAAAAGCGTGGAACACAGAGTACTCGCGAATCGAGTTGGCCCGAGAATATCAGTCGCGAGTTTCTTCTTCACCGGTCCACTTCCAACAGGGAAGATTTATGGACCAATCAAGGATATATTGACAGACAAGAATCCTCCAAGATATAGAGAAACTACAGTAAAGGAATATCATGATCACTTCTGTGGCAAAGGGCTTGATGGAACTTCTTCTTTGTCACATTTCAAGCTCTAGAGAGCAACAGGATTTGCACTGAGAGAAAGAGTTCATAAAGCAGATAGTAAGCTGTAATCAGAATTGATTTTGCCCCTGAAAGGTATATCCAGCTAGCTTTATTATACTTGAGGAAGAAGTAGTATTTTGACATGGATTTCTCTGTGAGTATGATCAACATTCTGATGTGAAATCATCACTGCTAAATCTAACAAACACGAAGCACGACTTGACTGTCACCTGTGATAAGAGTCTATACCATGATTTTTTAGCAGTGGCTCAGACTGATATCTTTTTGTTTCAACTTGTGGTTTATTCTAACTAACTCATGGTGACATATCTATTTTAATCCCCCAAAAAAAAAAAAAAAAACAACAACAAAGACAGTCACGGAAAAAGTTGCTTTATCTACTCTTTTTTAGTCCAAAGTAAGACATCCTCAACCTCATCAGAAACTTGAACAAGCAAACCGCTATGTAAGGAAGGAAATGCCTACGAAATATGGTTGCGACTACCAAACAGACTGAGGCTTCTTTAAAACTTGGGTACGATTACGAGCATTTGATGAAGCAAAAGCGGGTGCTGAAGGTCTTGTCGATGCAGGCATCACCGAAGTGCCTCGGATTTTCAGTCACAAGAAAGAAAGGTATTCTAGAGAATAAGGAGCTCGAATATCGCGAATAGAGAGGTTCAACAGAACTCCAATTTCCAGTAAATTGAGTTGCAAAACTTACTACATGGGACAGACATTTGCATGTAGCTCACAAAATAAATTCGAAAAGAAGTGTACTGAGTGCTGTCCATTTCCTCATTTGCTTTGGTAGCATTCAATGTTTCCTTCACCCTCCAGTGGATTCAGGGATATATATATATATATATATATATATATATATTTTTTTTTTTTTGACTAATGACACAGATTGCTTAATGAGATCAACAAGAACTTGACCTATTTCGGATAATGCATCATGAATATGACCTATTTGTTTTGCTTATCATGTGACTATCTTTGAGTAATGCCCCACACTTAGATCTTTTGAATAAACATGTGGTTTCTAGCTAGCTTATGGTGACATATCTGTTTCAGAACCACGAAAATCATGCTAAGGATAGTAAAAGAGCCGTCTTTATAGTCTTGAGCTGTAAAAAGGAACACATCCTGAAAGAAAAAGTTTGAACAAATAGAGCAGCTCATCAGAACTATGGGTGCAACAAGCAAAGAACAAACTGAGGATCCAGTAGAACCTCAGTATGACCGCAAGAGCGAATTACGAGCATTTGATGAAACCAAAGCTGGTGTTAAAGGTCTTGTTGATGCAGGCATCACTGAAGTACCTCCGATATTCATTCACCAGAATGGTATCCTGGAGAACAGAAGCTCAAGTATCGGGAACAAAGGCTCGACAGCACCCAAATTTCCTATAATTGACCTGGATGGCATTGGTTCAAACCCAATCAGGCGTAGTGAGGTCATCAATAAAGTAAGAGATGCATCCGAAACATGGGGTTTTTTCCAAGTAGTGAATCACGGCATCCCAAACAGTGTTCTGGAGGAAATGATTCAGGGAGCGCGTAGATTCTTCGAGCAAGATGATGAAGTGAAGATGCAATGGTATACAAGGGATTATACCAAAAGCGTCGTGTATGTTTCTAACTTCGACTTGTACAGTGCACCGGCTGCAAACTGGAGGGATTCCATCCGTTGTATTATGGCCCCTAGTATTCCAGGTCCAGATGAATTGCCTCAGGCTTGTAGGTACTTTTCTATTGGTAACTTAATCTTTGTTGGAAACTGTTTTACTCTTAGAAACAGGACTATTGAGACAGAGAGGGGGTACTTTTTTGCTGTATAAAGTGGATTTGACATCAAAATAGATGTTATAATCTTACCTGATTTGCAACTCTTTTCGAGTTTCTGGCAGCGAAATTATGACAGAATACTCAAAGGAAGTAATGAAACTTGGATGGCTGTTGTTTGAGTTGCTGTCAGAAGGTCTTGGACTTCATCCAAACAACCTCAAAGACATTGATTGTGCAGAACAGCTTTCTGTTCTTTGTCATTACTACCCAGAATGTCCACAGCCGGAACTTACCATCGGCACCACGAATCATTCGGACAATGATTTCATCACAGTTCTTCTCCAAGATCAGGTAGGTGGTCTCCAAGTATTTCATCAGAGTCAGTGGGTTGATGTTCCTCCTACACCTGGAGCTTTAGTTATCAATATTGGAGATCTTCTACAGGTAGGACATTTTTTTTTTTGGCCAATTCTCTAGAAGTAATCTTTTCATTTTCATCAGTTTTTCCAATAGGGTATAACTTTGGTTTCGCTCCTTTGATTTTCAGCTTATATCCAATGACAAGTACAAAAGTGCAGAACATAGAGTACTAGCGAATCGGGTTGGTCCACGAGTATCAGTCGCGAGCTTCTTCGATAGCTCACGTCCAAAAGGGAGGATTTATGGACCAATCAAGGAGATATTATCAGAAGAGAATCCTCCAATATATAGAGAAACTACCACGAAGGAATATTTCGATTACTACTTAGCCAAAGGGCTTGATGGCACTTCTGCTTTGCCTCATTTCAAGCTCTAGATCAACTTGCAAACATCAGCTTGTAGTGAAGCGATCATTAAAAAAGTTCTCATAAATATCAGCCCTGGATTTCCGGTAGAGGAAGTGTTCATAAATCAGATTGTAAGTTGTAATGGAGCTGATTGATGTTTCCAGCTTCTTTTGAGCAGAGCTGAATTCTGCTACATATTACTCCTTCTGTCCCGAAATCATTGTTCAGTTTTGAAATTTTATTTTCAGTATAAATTGTATAAAAAATGAAAATCCAAGACGAACGATCATTTTGAGACTGAGGGAGTATTAGTAATCAATCAAAATTTCCCCTTTTTTTGTTGCAATGATACAGAATGGACAAGTACATCCTGCTCACTGTTTGTAAATTTTCTTTTTCTAGTACAACATTGTGTGTATTCATTACTTATTCTCGGCACTCTACTATGGGTTAACATTTTTGCTTGTTTCATTTATCCTAACAAATATTATAACAAACTGGACTCTTATTTTAAAACAGAACCAGTACCATTTTACGTCGTTGTCAGCCATGTCACATTTTAACTCTAATGTGCCCATATTCAAAATCAACCAAACCGACAAATGCGAAATTCTTCTTGAAGAGGCCACTAAAAAGTGGCGACAAGTTGCCTTTATATATCGTGGCCAATTTATGAGGAAGGAAAATCCCCTGCCTTCATTATCAATGTGCCCCCCATGTCCGAATATGGTGAAGTGAAATGTAATAATTGAAGATACTGAAGAAGACAGAATCAATGAAATTTTGTGGCCACTAATTAAAGAAACAAACAGAGGGAACTACAACCTTACAGCTTATAATTCATCAGTAACAACTTTTTTTTTTTTTTTTTTATATGTAACTTGAATTGAAAAGATTGATGCTGAAGTCTAAGAACAAAGAGGAAGAAAAATGGTGGAAACAAGGTCTGAGAATAGGGATCGTTTGAGTGAATTGAAAGCTTTTGATAGCACAAAAGCTGGAGTGAAGGGTCTTGTGGATTCTGGGCTACAAAAAGTTCCAAGCATATTCATCCATGATGGCCTCAGGGCTGAAAATTTAGCTCAACCTGGAAAATCCCATTTGAGTGTTCCAGTTATAGACATCAGTGGTGTTAAGATGAACGCAGATTTACGCCGCGAGATTGTCGAAAAAGTTGGAGAAGCAAGTGAGAAATGGGGGTTCTTTCAGATTGTGAATCATGGAATTCCATCCAGCGTGACGGAGGAGATTGTTGAGGGCGTACGCAAATTCCACGAGATGGATAGTGAAGTGAAAAAACAGTACTATTCGCGCGATCCGACGAAAAGCTTTCGGTTTATCAGCAATTTTGATCTGTACCAGGGACCAAGAACCCAATGGAGGGATACTATGGAATGTAACATAGCTCCAAATCCACCTAATCCTGAAGATCTCCCTGATGTTTGCAGGCAAGTTAATGTTATCCTTTTTTTCCCCCATTTTCCCTATAAATATATCACATTCAGACTAATTCGATTTATTTAAATTAGACAACTAATATTCTTCTTTCCGTCCCATTTTAATGGTCAAGATATTACAATTGGTGCAGAGATGCAATGTTTAAGTACTCAAAATGTGTGATGGAATTGGGGAACACTCTGTTTGAAATCCTGTCTGAAGCTCTTGGTCTTGAATCAAAGTATTTTAAAAACATGGGTTGTTCTGGTGGAATTTATCTTCTAGGACAGTACTATCCAGCTTGTCCTGAACCAGAATTAACACTAGGATTTAGCAGTCACACAGACAGTGGATTCATTACCATATTGCATCAAGATCAATTAGGTGGTCTCCAAGTGCTTTATGAAAATCAATGGGTTGATGTGCCTCCCTTGCCTGGTGCTCTGGTGATCAACATTGCTGATCTTTTGCAGGCATGATTTCTTGATCTGATGCACTTTCTTCGTTTCGTTCTTCATCTTGATTTTCTTACAATAATAATAATAAAAAAAATCATATGTACTATGCAGAAAATTTGACAATATGTACTAAAAATGAAAATCTAAACTGAATAATTATTTTGGAACCGACGGTTTACTAAATTAATTAAGGAACTATTCGAGTTCGAGTGGACCCATCACATTACTATTATTTTTTATTTTTGCCCCTTTGTGCAGCTGATTACAAATGACAAATTCAAGAGTGCTCATCATAGAGTGTTGTCTAGAAAGAATGGTCCAAGGATTTCTGTAGCTTGTCTGCTCAGAACACATCTTGAAGAAGGGGATGAACCAAAGCTATATGGACCAATCAAAGAGTTATGTTCAGAGGAAAACCCTCCAATTTACAGGGAAATTACTGTGAAAGAATACATTATGCACAGATACAAGACCGGTCTTGATGGAAGCTTCCCTTTGTTACCTTTCAAATTGCATTAGTAAGATTGGAAAACTAGATTTTATGGAAGATAAAAAAGGACTGTCTATGTTATCTTGTAAAGGATAACCGATGCACTTTACTTGTTTACGTAATATCAATTTAAACTTTTGATAACTCTTGTGTTAATGTTTGTTTTCCAGCATCCTTCTATTGTTTGTCTAAATCAGAAGTATATAACGAGTTTAAAGAATTTTCGTACATATTTGTGAGTGTCGACTTTCTCGTCCACTTGGTATAAGCGACGAACAAGTAGACAAAATCCAAAATTAACCAAAAAAAGGCAACGAAAATAGTGAGCGTCGACTTATCCGTCTACCAACAAAAAGCAACGAAACGAATCGACATAGAATAAAATCTATTTTATATCATTTTCACAATTTTTTGATGATTCTATTATTTGGTGAGTAACCAATTTCAGTTTTGTGGTTAAAATTCCGAAATACTATTTTGTTTATTATTTTCATAATTCATTAGAAAAACTTTTCATGAAAAAAACTTTTAAGGAACATACAATGAAAAGGTCAACATGAAATTTACTTTTCATTAATTCCCCCCTTTTCATATTGCTGCTGGTTTCTATTCTTGGTGCTGCTATTACAATGGCAAATTCACGAGTGTTGTCTAGAAAAAATGGTCCAAGGATTTCTATATTTCTCCTAATTGAAGGAGGCTCCCAGCAGACTCTATTGACCAATCAAAGAATTATTACCTCTGTCTCGAAGAATAGTTCATATTAAGTTTTTAAATTTGTATTATTTTTAGTAAAATTCTTGCTAAATATGATTTTTTTTTTGGAAAGAGAGGATCTAGTTTATTATAGAGATCATCTAACTGTTAAAAAATAGGTTAATTATGCATCGATACACGAGTGTGTTGATGGAAGTTTTTCCTATATTACCTTTCGCTTCCATTAACGAGGGGATAAAACGAAAATTCATTTCGAGGAATAAACTAGATAGTGTATATATTTTGGCCACTAATTTTGTTTTCTTGACACAGTCACCGTCTCCATCATTTAACTTTGATAACACTATCACTAGTACATATCAATAAAGTCCGTTTTGCTTATCCTTTTATGAGGGAAGCATGTTAACAAGCATGAAACCAAATGATTCCAGATGTGATTATATTGATAAAATTTTATTTTATTTCTGTCTTAATCAGCTCTCATCAATTATTTGAAGTTAGTAAGATATACTCCTTTCGTCCTATAATTATTGTCCAGTTTGTGTTTTTATTTCTAGCTTAAATTGTACTAAAAGTAAAATATCAAACTAGACAATAATTTTGAGACGGAGGGAGTATATTTTTTCTAAGTCTTCAAACAACTATTATTGATAAAATTTTATTTTATTTCTGTCTTAATCAGCTCTCATCAATTATTTGAAGTTAGTAAGATATATATTTTTCCAAGTCTTCAAACAACTATTACTGTGAACGTCATGACGTCTGACTATTTGTGAAGTTCCAATTTTATCGGGATGTCCCTAAAGGGACGACTATTTGTGAAGTTATCTTGTACTCTATCTGTCCCAAAACTATTGTCCATTTTGAGATTTTATTTTTAGTACAATTTAAATTAGAAATAAAAACTTAAACAGGACAATAATTATGGGACGAAAAGAGTACTTATTTACTAAGGAAGCCTGGTTGAAAATCCAAAATACAATTCATAATAAGTTGTTTTTGGGCTACACGTAGTACAAAAATTAAAATTCACAGTAAACTATTTTTTTTTAGAATAGATAGAATATATCTAAAAAATTATTGACTATTTTAGTGAAGACCACTTATGTGTTTTGCTAATGACACGTCATGAAAATTATGATCCTTTGAAAACTAGCCCATTCCATAATCATATTAATTAAGTTTGTCTGGTGAAATGAGTACCTGTCTAATGAACTAAATATCACTGCAGTGACATCAGAATTGTCACTCTTCAAGATGACCATACAATTTACAAAACTACATATCACTCAGTTGTAATTGGACGTTTTCCAAACTATCAAAATAATTTCTATTTGTTTAATCATAGGAAAGATTATTTTGGTAACTGGATAATTATTTTGGGAAAGATTAAATAATAGCAGATTAGATTTGTAACATGTACAATATTAATTTTATTTTTCCAACAATTGGAAGGATGTCTGCTTGGCTCTATATAATTCGCATTGTTTGGAGAAAAGGTAACAAGGGGTTACATTTCCTTTCTTAGTAGAGCAAAGAAAATGGCGACCCAAAAGCATGAATTTTCTCAACAAGCTCCAAATCTGTCTGATTATGAAAAACTGGATGTCAAAACATTTTTTGAGTCTAAAAGGGGTGTAAAGGGTCTTGTAGAAGCAGGAATTCAAAAAGTCCCTCCAATTTTCTTCCACGAATTCATTAGACCAGAGGATAAACCAGGCGCCACACCAAATCCCAAACCCGAGTTCCTATCATAGATATGCGAGGCATCAACCAGGATGATGATCGTGTTTCAAATTCGAATCTTGTCGAACAAATCCGTTACGCCTGCGAGGAATTCGGGTTCTTTCAAATGATTAATCACGGTGTTCCAGGCGCCGTGTAGGAGAAAATTATTGAAACAGTACGCTTGTTTCATGAGCAGGATGCAGAGAAGAAGATGCCATATGTTCCTACTGATGATCCCTCCAAACCTCGAGTGGTTCGCTACGTTAATCATAGCTTTGATTACACTAGGATGAAAAGACTAGTCTGGGGTGATGGTTTTAACTTTGAAACAGATGAGTTTCCGCCTTCCCTCGAAGATCTTCCAGGAGAATTCAGGTACGTGGAAAACTTTGAATTTCTCGTCAATTGATTTTGAGATGGATGCACAAAATTATTAGTATCGCTCGACCTGTTATGTTTGTTATTATCACTTCGCAGGAATCCAATAATTGAGTACACAATCTACATCATGAATTTGGGGAGGACTTGGGCTACTCTCTGAGGCATTAGGACTTGAAAAGAAGTATCTCGAAAAGATTGGTTGCGCCGATGGGCTTTACTTTTTCGGCCATTATTATCCAACTTGTCCTGAACCAGAACTAACTATAGGTGCCCATCTTCACACGGATAATCCATTTATGACTATTCTCCTACAAGATCAAATTGGTGGGCTTCAATTCCTCCACCAAAATAAATGGGTTGACGTGCCTCCCCTACCTGGAGCTCTGGTGGTCAACATGGGTGACATGATGCAGGTAAAGTTTAATTAGGTCAAAGTGGTAAGGTACTTTGGTTTCGGGTTCAAATCTCGTGAATGAAAATAATAATGTTGGGAGAGTTTTCCCTCCGAAAGGACACCGATCCGGCTCGGTGTGGATTAGTCTCAGTGTAATGCATTTAGGATATCGGTGCGCAATATGAAAAAAAAAAAAAAATCATTAGGTTCATACCATATATAGAAATTCTGGTATGAAAGAAGACTCTTATTTTTAGAACAGATACGTTAATTTGTTTTTCTTATGGTAATAATGCAGTTGGTCACAAATGATAAATTCAAAAGCATGATACATAGAGTGGTGCCGAAGAAGATAGGCCCTAGAGTTGCAATCTTCTTGAGGCCTTTGCCTAAAGAAAAAGAAGAGGAGGTTGAGCTCAAAATGTATGGGCCAATCAAGGAGCTGTTGTCTCAAGAAAATCCCCCAATTTACAGGGCACCTTTGAAGAATACTGTGCATATCACCGGGCGAATCTCCGAAGCGATGATCCGAAGGCTGATGCTATTTCACATTTCAAGCTGTGAAAGTCAGCTATAGTTGAAAGAGAATATTTTTCTGAGACGGAAAGAGTAATTCTAACTCGTTCTGGTTGTATCAAACGTACCAGTTGCTTTTTTTCTACTATTGTGCTAGTTGTACTACTTGCATAATGCTAGTTTGTTTGGAATTAAGCAGATATAATCAACCAAATATCTTTTCCATCATAAGCAACCGTTTTTGAATTGATATTTGGATATCTTAGAAATTCACTACATGTTTTACCACTTAATTAGAATCTATTTTATATTTAATTATTTTCTCTATGTATTATATTTTTCAAAAGATTACATACATTGCATTTCTTTAACCATTGGAAAATAAAATAAATTGGCCTCAAACAAACAAAGTGAACTAGAACTAATAGTGATACAATTACATGAATGAAATTATTAGCACATATGTGGTGTGAATTTTTTTTTTTTGGGATGGAGAAATATTAATAAATCAGATAACTCAATGTAAATTATTATTGCCATTTTTTTTAGACGAAAGAAGTATCGGTCATATTATTTAACTCTGTAGCAGAATGTGGCAGTGTACGATGCGAAAAATAAAGAATGATCTTGTGCCGTTTCTTCGGTGTTCCATCCATTTTACAAATTTCGAAAACGCGCGATCACATGTAAAATTGGTAACTTAAAACCACTTTTATTATTTCACTTAGTCCGTAGACTTCATTTGTTGATACAATCAATTAAATTACTAGTCAACATCATCAGAAGAGATACTTCCTGACTCTTTCTGATTTGGTCATGCAAAACGTGGGACACCATCATCATCATCATTATTAGTATTAGTATTATTTTATGCGAAAGAAATAAAAATAGTTCTGAATTGATTTGGTTGAAACAGATACTTTTTTTTTTTAAAAAAAATGTTTCCTTCTAAATGATGAATCAACCGACGTGAACATAATTCTTAGGTGCAAAATGTCGATGAATGAATTGTTGACAACCGAAATAAAAATAAACCGCGTTAACAATGGAATATATATAAAAAAAAGGTTAACAAGAAATAGGCAATAAAAAATTAAACAAAATCAGCCGATTGATCGCAGCCAGATTGGAACTGAATCAAAGTCTCCTTCGTTGCACTTAGAGAAAGAAAAATATTAACAAAGATTTTATAAATTAACTAGTATTATGCTCTCGCTTTCCGCGGTGAGTCATTGTTCGTGAATTTTTTCTTCAAAATGACTTGACAATATGACAAATAAACAAAAAGATCATTTTGATAGAACCTCAAATAATGTCAAAACCAAAATCAATATGAACGTATTAATTAGATAATACTGCACAAGTAGTTGAGCTTCTTACAGTTGAACCAAAATCAATATCTACCTATTAAGCTCAGACTCATTAAAGTCTCTTATACTACTTCTACTTTAAGACATTCAATATAAGCATATCCCTTCAATTGGCCCTATTTATTAGTTCGAATGGTTGCCTTATTGATAATTCTGCATGATCTCTTTCTCGTGTTTGGCATGCATTTCATGGGGAGCAGCCGCTTCATCTTTTGTCTCTTTTAATCTCATGTGATTCAGCTCCACGACCATCACCCCTTCTTTCCCGTTCAGTCTGACACGAACAACCAAAAAACTGAAATAATGTAGAGCATTAGCCACCACTACTTTTGAACTAAAACAGTTCCAATAAAAGATCAAAAATCAGAAATGAAACCAAGCTCCTAATATGTTTGATTTAGCACCATTTAATGAGAGACTGGAGCTTGAAGCTTTCCCATTTCGGCAAAAAAAAAAAAAATCCAAACACCAGGAGAAAATTTAGGAACTATGTAGGCCTGATAAAATGCCAGGAGCTGCTAAAAATTTAAAGAAAAAGCTCCACATCAAAATGAAGCTCCAGACCATATCGAGAGAGCCAACATTGAGATAATTAATGGAACAAAATCAATGATCAAATGGATGTAATGTTTTTCAAATAACAAATAGTCTACGAACACAACAAAAAATTAAAAGAGAAATCTCAAAAAAAAAAATCTAATCTAATTACTATCAAATATATATGAGGGTTTCAAAAGTAAGAAAGACATACTTTAAAATTAATAATGGAATATTCAACCGGTATTGTCTTGGGGACAATCTCCATAATTACTTTACAAAATCATCGCTAGAATACTCGATCAAACAGCCCGTCTGTTCAACCGAAAATTATACCATGCACATTAAGTGCATGTAGCTAGATACACATAGACCCTTATTTGACAATTAGTATAGGAAAGGAGGGCTAAACATGCAAGTCTTCACGAGTTAGATGAAACACACAGACCACTCTTTCTTAATTTTAGGAAGTGGGTTTTCAAAATTTCTTTTATTTTCAAATAATTTTATTTCTTAATCCGTAATGAACTAGACCAAGTGTCTTATATCATTGATGAGATCAATCTAACAAGATCCATCATGAATGTGGTTTTCGAAACTTTAAAAAATTTATGCAGTTACCTTGACCATTCTAAAAGACGCTATGGTCTTACTTGTGTCTTTTAGTACCAAGAACTAGAACAAATACCAAAGACACAAAGTCCAAAACCGAAAATCAAAGAGCAAAAACAAAAACCAAAGACTAAAGATCGAGTCAAGAGCGAGCGTGTGAGAGGATCAAAGACCAAAGACCAAACACGAAGACAAAAAATCAAAGACCAAAACCGAAGTGAAGAGGGAGCGTATATGAAAAACAAAGGCAAAAGACAAAAGGCCAAAGACCAAAAACCGAGAGAGATCAAAGACCAAAGACCAGAATGAATAGCGAGTGTGTATGAGGAGCAAAAACCAAAAACCAGTGGCCAAAATACCAAACTAGGCCCTAACTAACACGGAAATGCTTAAACCCCCTATACCCTAAACCCTAAACAACTAGACTCTAACCGACACGGAAATGCTTAAACCCACTAATATTTTTTTTTTTATTTTTTTTGGTTTAAATTTTTTAAAATCAACTAGGCTAGGGTCACGTGACCCCAGCCTAATTAGTTTAAAAAAATTTCATAATTTTAATCATGTTACGGTACAAATTAGGCCATAACCGACACGGAAATGCTTAAACCCGCTAAACCCTAAACCCTAAAGAACTAGACCCTAACCGACACGGAAATTCTTAAACCCCCCTCAACCCTAAACCCTAAACAACAAGACCCTAACCGACACGGAAATGGCTAAACCCCTATAAACCCTAAACATACTATTTTTTTTTTGGTTTAAATTGTTTTTAAACCAATTAGGCTAGGGTCTCGTAAATTTTTTTTTAAACGAGATGATAGCCTAAGTGGTTTTAAAAAAATTATAAGGTTAATTGTGTTATGGCACAAACTAGGCCCTAACCGACACGAAAATGCTTAAAATCGCTGAAATCTAAAGCCTAAACAACTAGATCCTAACCGACACAAAAATAGTTAAATTCCCCTAAATCTTAAACACACTAATTTATTTTTTTGGTTTAAAAAACTTTATAGGTTAATCGTGTTACGGCACAAACTAGGCCCTAACCAATAAGGAAATGCTTAAAGCCCTCTAAACCCTAAATCCTAAACAACTAGACCGTAACCTACAAGGAAATGCTTAAACCCTGCTAAATCCTAAACCCACTTTTTATCTTTGGCCTTTGGTCTTTACTTCTCACACATGCTCGTTTTTAGTTTTGGTCTTTGGTCTTTGCTCTTTGGTCTTTAGTTTTTGTAAATTTTTTTTAGTCTCTGGTCTTTGGCTTTTGGTCTTTGGTCTTTGGTCTTTGGTCTTTGGTCGTCGGCCTTCGGTCTTTGGTCTTTGGTCTTTGGTCATTGGCCTTCGGTCTTTGGTCTTTTGTATTTGCTCTTTGGTTTTTGGTGTTTGGCTTTGCTACTCACACAACGCTCGTCTTTCACTCTGGTCTTTGGTCTTCGGTTTTGGCTCTTTGGTCTTTGGTTTCTTGGTCTTTGGTCTTTTGTCTTTATTGTTGTTCCTCACACGCGCTCGCTCTACGCTTTGATCTTTGGTCGTTGATTTTTTGTCTTTGCTCTTTGGTATTCAATGTTTGGTCTTTGGCCTTTGCCTTTTGGTATTTTCTCTAGGTCGTGGTCCTAAAAGAAACAAGTAAGACCATAGTGTCTTTTCGTAAGACCAAGGAAACTGCATAAATTTTTTAAAGTTTCGAGAAACATATTAATGATAGATCTTGTTAGATAGATCTCATCGAGTACTATCAAAATGATATAAAATACTTGGTCTAATTCATTACGGATTAAGAAATAAAATCATTTGAATATAAAAGAAAATTTTAAAATCCACTTCCTAAAATTAAGGGAAGGGACGCATGCATTGAAAATGAAAAAGAAAGCATGTAAAATAATTATACATGAAGTCCCTCGATCGTTGAATAATAAAAAAAGGGTCTAAGTGCATCTAGCTAGATGCACTTAATGTGCATAGTATAATAACTCCTGTT